GAGGAGGTTGAAGTGGAGGCAGTTCATATAGGATTGGGAGAGACCAAGTTGGGAATGGCTTGGATCAGGGTAGGTCCTCGCCTAACAACCATGTGGGATTTGCTTAATGATGGCAACTGGGACTGCCATAACTGCTGTCGCTAATTGGCGCAGTCATATGACATTGCACTTAACTACCGCTTCACTTAGTGACAGTTGTCAGACCCAGTTAGGGTCATTAAGTGAGAACTACCTGTATTCTGACCAAGCATGTGCCCTTAGCAAATAATCAATAATGAATCACATCTAGAACTTTGGAAAGTCTTTAGAATTTAAACAGTTTAAAAGTTTTTATATAGCTATAAACTTCAGTGTCTGAATTTTATTGATACCGTACTTGTATTGTTTTAGTAAATTAAATCCACTAAGGAGTAAAGACAGAAGATAAAGCAAAGATAATAAATGAGACATGCTATAGCTTGGTGCAGAAGCCCAACTTACCATATGCTATGGAGTGTTCAGTTTTATAGGTCAGGTTTCAGATACTATTTTTCAGCCTTGGCTATCCGTCTGGGAAATTTTTTATTTTGTAGTGTGTACATGTATGTGTGCATGTATATGCCTTATACCTTATAAATAGGAGCAGGAAGATACATTAATCTACATACTGTATTCCCTGACACAGTACTAGTTTTCCCATGGCAAATCTTTACCATGATTACAATTCCATTTAGTTGTTAGCATGCTATATCCAGCCATGCATTGATACCATCAAATGAGGGTCTGCTTCATATGCCCTTATGTAGGAGAAGTGATAAGGCAGTGGCTACCAGAAGCAGGCCATTCTAGATTGTGGCATTCTCCCCCCAGCAAGATAATATTTCTTACTTTAGCCATGAGATAGAAAGTATTTTATAATACTTTCAGGCATTTATAATATTTAATCTCAGATTGTGGACAGTTATGTGCTATTATTTTGCTTGTATATTCTTATCTATTTAATTCATAAAATGTCCCATCTTACCATAGTGACTCTGGGCAGCTAACAACCTTTAAAATAAAACTATGAACAATATAAAATGTAATACATATAATAGCAACCAATGTTATTATGCTAGTTAATTTCTTAGTTTGGTTTTATTTACACTGTGCTATTTTAATATGTTTCATTTTATTTGTATTGTTGTGGTAGTTTTATAAGCCACTTTAGAGGCTGGGTGCAGAAAAGTTGAGTATAAATGTAATACATGTTATATAGCAAGCATTTGTACACTACCACTGTCAAATGACAGTAATGGAGTCAACTGGAAGATGGGAAGCTGACTGCAGGGACATGAGTTGTTGTTCCAAGGGAAGCTAAAGAATCTCAGCACACATTTAAGAAGATTGTGTGGTTTTCATGGAATTGGACTACTTGACAGAACAGATGGAGGATTGCAGAAATCCATAAAACTTTCACCTGCTGAAAGCTAGCATTTTAAGGAAAAAGGAACATGTTTATTCCTGCCTCTGATTTAATTGTCAATTATTTGTAAGAAGGTTTTAAAAAGCCTTACATTTTCAAAGTCTGCATCTCACATTTAGGCATCAGCTATTACTAGGAACAAAACACATTTTGAATTCATAGGCATAAGCTTTAATTGTTTAGGAATCTAGATGATGAAGCATATTGCATTTTTTTAGCCAACCATAGAGCTATTTTAAGACCACTAGAAAGATTAAACTACAGCACTAAAGGAAAATCAAGCTTTTATAAATGAATATGATTGAGAAGGGTATCATTACAGTGGTACCTCGGGATACGAACTTAATCCGTTCCGTGACTCTGGGCGTATCCCGAGTTGGTCGTAACCAAAAATGACCGTACCCCGAGGCGGAGTTCGCACATCGAGGTAAATTTTTGCAAAAATGACCGTACCCCGAGGCGGAGTTCGCACATCGAGGTAAATTTTTGCAAAAATGACCGTACCCCGAGGCGGAGTTCGCACATCGAGGTAAATTTTTGCAAAAATGACCGTACCCCGAGGCGGAGTTCGCACATCGAGGTAAATTTTTGCAAAAATGACCGTACCCCGAGGCGGAGTTCGCACATCGAGGTAAATTTTTGCAGCCGGAGCTGGTCGTAACCCGAAAAGTTCGTTAGTAGAGGCGTTCGTATCCTGAGGTACCACTGTACTTGTTTTCCCTATTGTTACAGATGGCTCTCATCTGGGTCTCGTTATCCACAGTTTTATGTATCTGGAGTTGATAAATACAGATCAGAGTTTGGTATACACATAAAAATTGTCATGTATCTGTGGCTTTGGCCTTGTTTTTTGTTACTTTGCATATGCACAAAATGGCAGACAGACTTTTTCATGTATGTAAAGTACATGTTTAAGGGCTAAGTCATCTATCTATTGTATTTGCTACTCCTTCTCATTCAGTTGTGGCAGATTGCACTGGTTCAGACCAGTTATGAGGCTTCACAAGCTTCTTCCCAACAGTTAGACTTCTTTGGAATGACTCACTCTGCTGGTGATAGAAGGAATCACTTCTCTTGGGTCAAGTTGCTCCTCCACTCTGTACAGATCTCAGTGGAGCAACCTCTTGATCGTGCTGCTAGATGCTAGTGCTCCCCATAGTTTATTTGCAGCTTGCTTTGATGATTGCATACTGCTAGAGTTTGGGCTAACCCTTTTTCCTCTGAACTGACACAGCCTTGGCAATTGCAGTTGGCAGTGGTCCTGCAAGCAGGAAGAAAACAACCATAATCAGCAACCATGGTCAGAGGTTTTTGAGGAAAGGGAATTAGTGCCTTTACAAGCACCCCACATGTATTGGAGCAATGACAGAGAAAAGGCAGCAAAAATGGTGGTAAATGGAATTCAAAGAAGCAGATAATCTTTTCATGTAAATCTAATTTGGGACCAAGAATTGAAAATCAAGTTCTGCCTGTGGGTTTGACATATACCTTCTTGAGTTGAATAGAGGAGCGGAGTTTCGAACTGATTTTGAAAAAGTAATTAAGCAAATGATGCATGTTTAAAGTGTATACACAATTGAGTACGCATATACATTAGATTGGTCCACCCCCAGCGACTGATGGATCTGGAGGGGTTCCAGAGGGAGCTGGGGGCTGTTCCTGCTGGTCTGCTGCACGGCTCATCTAAAGCCTTGATTGCTGCCTGTAATAAAAGGGCAGCTGAGGCTTTGGATCGGATCGTGCCTATGCGACCTCTCCCCTCCCATGGATCCCGTCACTCCCCATGGTTTATGGAGGACCTGAGGGAGATGAAATGAGAGAAGTGGCATCTAGAGCGTCACTGGCACTCATCTAAGGACAAACTCGACCAAACATGGTCGAGGTAGGCCACTATTGGTAGGCCACTATTAAGGCCTACCAAGTGGCAGTAAGGGTGGCAAAGTGAGAGCGCTCTTCCGCCCTTATTGCATCCTCAGATTGCCACCCTGCAGCCTGTTTTGGGTGATATGGGTCCTCTTGGGTACAGGGGGCCCAGACAACCTTTTGCAGGGTCATGTAGGGGAATTTGCTCAGCATCTGTCAGATAAATCGCTCGGATTTGTTCGCAGTTAGACACTGGCTTTGCTGCAGGTCTCTGGGAGATGCCTAGGGTGGAGTCTTGTCCAGTTATCTGGGAATGGTTTGAACCTGTTGGGCCTGATGAAATGGGCGGGGTCCTTAGGACTGTGAGCTCAGCCACCTAGTCTCTAGATCCATGCCCCTCCTGGCTTGTGAAAGCAGCCCGGGGGGTGTCATGTGGGTGGGTTCTGGTGATAGTGAATGGTCACTCATACCCTGGTCACCTCCCCGTTAGATTACTGCAATGCGCTCTACATGGGGCTGCCCTTGAAGAGTATCTGGAAACTTCAGCTGGTACAAAATGCAGTGGCGCGAGCAGTTATGTGTGTTTCTAGTAGAACACACGTTACACCTCTACTTCGTAAGCTGCATTGGCTACCAGTTTGTTTCCAGGTCCAATTCAAGGTGCTGGTGTTGACCTTTAAAGCCCTTCATGGCATAAGGCCAGGCTATCTGAGGGATCACCTCTCCCTAATTTCATCTGCCCTTCCTACCCAATCCAGCAGAGAGAGCATGTTACGGGTTCCATCACCTCAGGAGATACATTTGGCAGGCCCCAGGTGGCGGGCCTTTTCTGCTGTGGCACTTGCGCTGTGGAATCTTCTCCCCCCTGAGGTGAGACTGGCCTCGTGATTGTTGAGCAGGATAATTATACCAAATCATATAAATAAAGAAGCCATTTTCTGAGTGTTTGTCTTTTTAATCCATAGGCTAGAAGAGGTTATTGGTCCTTGGCTGCCAAGTAAAAGCATACTTCAGCGCGAATCTCTTTGGCTGTGCCTTTATTGGGTCTGGAAGGAAATCCACAACAGTTACAACACTGCAGATTGTTTAGGCATGTGTCTGTGAGACATGAGGGGTTTAGACCCCAAACTGATATACAAATAAAGGCATAATCAATGAGATACTTTATGGAAACTATGAAATAAACAGAACTATATCTCTGATACTTATTCAAACACTGTTTTCAAAAGCAGTTATTTAAGTAATTGAAACAATTATGGGGGTAGGGCAGAAATCAGCTTGTCAGTTTAATATTAATATTTCCATTGGTTTATATTACCATATGTAGAATGCTCGGATGATTTTTTTTTCTTTCACTTCTGTTCCATTTCAGCAAAAATGAAATGAAGTAGCTGCTAGCAGTGGAGCCATATCCCAGAGCAAGGGAACACTAAACCTGGCAGGTCCAAAGTCTCTGGGGCAGAAAGTCTTTATCACTTTGTGGGGCCAGAGGGGATGTCTCAGCCTAAACAGAGAGTTCCTGAGTCCAATCAGTATCTCTGTATTTTGAATACGTTTCTTTTATAAGCACTTCATTATGAGACAAATTGCTGATAATAACATTCATTTGGTGTTTATTCTTCCTTTGCTTTTAATGTAAAGAACAACCCAATCAAATAGCCTGTGGTTTTTATGTCTCCCCACCCCACCCCAGGATTCATCAGAACCAGAAGACAATGAGCGACTACCCTTAAGTGCATCATGTGAACAGCGGTGTGTGTTGAGCTCCCTATCAACTCCAGAGAGGCAAAGCACAGTCCTTCAAAGTACAGAAAAAACAAACAAAAAAGCTGGTCCGAAATTTTCCAACGTATCAGTTGAAAGCTCAGGCTCCAGCGGTTCAAGCCTACAAAAATTGCACTCCAAAATTTCCTGTAGTTCTTCTGACATTACTGCAAGCAAGCATTCTTCAAAAGCTCAGAACCCTGAATCCAAAATATGTAGTGGGGATCTCCTCGACAAGCATTCCCAACATTTTACCAATGGTCAGCAACCATTCACTCCACGGACTTTAAAGTCAGATGCTAAATCCTTTCTTTCACAGTACAGATACTATACCCCAGCAAGACGGAAAGTAAGGGATATTCTAAAGCAACAGATGGAAGCAGAAACACAAATTGACATAATCAGGTGAAGAATTTTCTTAAGGAAGTCATATTTAGCCATTGCATGAACCTGGTCTATGGTGCACTGAATTGCTGCCTCACGTTCAGATTAACAGTGAAAAGCTAAACTTGGTGGGTGGGCAGCAACTAATGTGCTTTGCTTAAAAAAAAAAAATAACATTGCTAGAAGTAGATGGATGAAAAATGACCAATAATAGTATACTACAATAGTATATGAATGCAACAATTCATCCAGTGACTATTATGACAGTGTAAACAAGAACCTTTAAAATGTGAGGCAACAGACAATTACAAGGACCTGGTATTTGCTGCATTTCATTGTTCTCTTTGAAAGACACTACTTTCAAAAGACATAAGTGCACTATCCATGGAATGTTCACCATTCCAAAGAGCAGTTTGTATGGATTAGGAGCCCATGCCTCTGCTCTCTGAAAAGCAGATGGCCTGCTGTTACCTATATTTTAGTTGCTACGCCTGTAAGCCTGTGTTTACATATGCAGAGAGGTCCCATTGTCATATTATGGCTTCATACATATAATTTAAACCCTGCTTTATTCTCAATAGAATATGGTGGGGGTGATTGGGCTGGATCCAGAATTGCCTATCTATAAATAGAAAAGCTTTCCTCCATTTACAGACAAAATCAAAATGTCCGTTGAAGAAAGAGGATGATGTGTTCCCTGCCTGCATTACCTCCAGTGCTTTTCCAGAGAATTCCCCAAAACTCTGGAACAACATGGAAAATGGCATAGGGAAGGAGGAATTAGTAATTAGGAGAAAATAGTTGTCCCATGCCCTCCAACAAGTCTGGATCCAAGCATATTATACTTTCCTTATATTGGTTAATAACGTTCTATCAGGTTTATCTGTTTCCTGGCATGGAGTACAGATATAGTAAGCTCTGTTCCAGAGTAGTAAGCAGAAATTACTTTGCTCTAGAAGAAAGGTTGGAATGTTCATAATAAAAGAAATAGGATAGTAAACTCAGGTGTGTGACTTGATTAAAGTTATTTTTGAATTTATCTTTAAAGGAAATTTGAAGCCAGGTCCCTGAAGATTCAAGGCCAATATTGTAATGTTAGGACTCCCCTGATTCTTATCTTGAAAAACAGATTTACAATTACTTAAGTGCAACTGCTATATTTCAGTTTGGATTTACAAAGATATATGTCCAGCCACAGTTCAACAAAGTTCTGGATTTGATACTATGAATACAAGAAGCTCCTTCAGGAAGGCATCTATATTTTGTGTTAGTGTGTGTTTGAGTTTCTTGCACTGTATGGTGCCATATATATTAACAGAATTATATTAGTAAATGCCTATAATTTAGTTGCCAAACACAGATCTCCCATATATTTTAATTCATTCATTTCCATCTATATTAATAGAGGATAATACTGAGTAGATGTCTTCTGCCTCAACTACCTCTCCTTCAAATATAATATTGCTGATTTCTGTCATGCTAATCTAAAGGTTTGTTGAGTGCTATCAATTCACTGTCTTCTTTAGGACTGGAATTTTATAGCCAATTAAGAGTCCCTGCAACTCCATTGTATGTAATGCCATGCAAGGAAATGATTGTGGCATGATTAGAAGATTTAGGCCCTATAGGAATACTCTTAACTCCAGAGGTGCCATAGTTGTTCTATAGTAACTGCTAATATTCCCTGCCTTTCATATCTATGTTGCAGTTCCTTACTTTATTAAAAAAAAAAAAAATTTATACAAGCAGATGGATTATGTGTGTTTCTTCTTCCAATGGGCCATTTGTCTTTCATCTTACAAACACCTGGGTATAGTATTTATAAGCTTTAAAATTCCAATGATTTTTTTCTGAACCCAGATGGTAATATACTCTGCCACATAGATACTCAAAATAGTATATGGGACTATTTCTGCAAAAATGTTTCTGCAAAAATGGCATAAGATAATTATATTTTGCAGTTTTCAAGCAGAGTCTGAAGGAGCCGAAAAAAAGAATTTGCCTGATTTTCAGAAGATCACAAAGGAGGTAATTCAAGTGATCTATTGTGTACCAGTCATCAGGCCATTTTTAAGGAGAAATCTGTTGCTCTGGATAGTTGGTTATATTCTGTATTGAAAGGGGTTGTACTGACCCTAAAAGGTCTCATTTATGGCTTGGATTTTTTTTTTTTAATTTGATGCTTTCTGTAGAAACACAATGATTGCTCTAACTAGGAGTGCCTTTTATTCCATGTTGTTTTGGTACATTAGTTCCAACCTTACTAAGAAAAATTAATGTCATGCCTATTTCATTTGCTGGATTATTACAATGGAATTATAATGATTATAACTAGGACACTTCCACTGGTGAAGAATGAGACTACTTGAATCATTATTGTGGGACAAAAGGGTACATTATATTATACCACGATAGTTTAACTTGTTGCCCTTAAGTTTCCAGGCCCAGTTCAAAGTGTTGTTTCTAATCTTTTAAACATTTAATAATCTGCCTATATGTTGTTTATCATGCAGGGTGCTATTGCTCACTTTCTGCTTGGATGTATAAAATTTGCTGACTGTATAAATAGGTGTTCTCAGTGGTGTTCCAGCCGGATTGCATTTTGCAATTTTATTTTAATGAAAACATTTTAGTGCACTTTTAGTTTAGTAATGTAGTTTATATTTACATTACTATTTTTATATTCTTAATTTTTTATTTCCTGTATTTTGTCCAAAACATGACAAGCTGGTAACATCTTAAAAGCAGTTAAAAACAAATAGATATGTTCTACTGAATTCCATTCATTAGTGGCTTAACCTTAGTGAAGTAGTGGGCAAAGAGTAATAGACTTCATAGCAGTAGATCAGAATAATTTGATGGTTTGTATAGCTGGAACAGCAGAAGAAATAGCCAGGACTAGCTTCCACCCTCCATAAACCCAGAGGCTTTTCCCATTCACATACACATACACACACTCAAACTCTCTCTCACATTCTGTGATTTTTATGGGGAAGGTGGGAGTAGGGCTAGTTCCTTCCATCCATGGTCCTTTATCACAAACATATCCCCTCCATATTGATAAAACTCTGTGTGTATGTATGAGAGAGAGAGAGAGAGAGAGATTTCACCAGACAGGAATTGTCATATCCCCATATTTGTGTCATACTCCAGTTCTGCCACCTGTGGAACTGCTCAGAGAGGAGCTCCTGAAGGCAAAAATTAATGATGGCATGGAAAACCTTGGTGAGCCTCACTCCAGACCACTCTGGACTGCAGGCAAGTTATGGATCGTCCATGTGTGCAAAGTAGACAGTGCTTTCACTTCAGCAACTTCGAAGATAAAACTTTTTCCATTCCTTCCCTCCAGACTGAAGCTCTATGTTGTTCCAAACCAGTCTAAAATAATTAGGGGGTGTAAGTAAATGTGGAAGATCAATGAAAATTGTTTTCCTGATTTCTGCAACTGGGTTTGTATTAAGGCAGAGCTTCGAAAATGTTGTACTATGACCCCCTAAGACAATAAATGAACTTATGTGACTTTCCCATGAATAAAGCCAGTGAATTCATTAGGGCCAAGGTGGAGCAAAAAATAAATATATCACTTTTAATAATTAAACTTGAATCTCTATGTTCCAAGGGTGGAGGGTTCTCACTACTAACTGCCTAATATAGTCTTGCACAACAAGGAGCAAAGCACAGCTTGAGTTTTAACAGTGCTCTTGTTTTACTTGTGCAAGCATGGCCAAGCTGTGTGTTTTTTTTAAGTTGTGAACCCCCCCACTTGCTTGGGACCCGCCATGGGGTCCTGACCTCTGCATTAAGTCAAGGTTTCTGTTTTGTAAAATAGATTTTAGATTTGCCCATGTGGAAATAAATCATACAATACATTTTAGTCTATGCATGTGGAATTAAAACAAGGTGTAGGGGGAGGCAATTACATATTTGAAAAAGATACATTAATATGTAAAGCATGCACAAGGAAGCCAGGAATTAATTGGGCATTGGTTCCCTGTTCTGTTATACATCTTTTAAAAAGCTTTTAGCAGCCACCACCCCAACTTCATCCTTTTCTCTCACTTTAATGATCCATCTCTTTGTGTAATAACAATACAAATGAATTTTGCACCGGTAACAGAGATGTATTCTTTATATATAGGTAGAAGACACCATGTCTTCTAATGCACAGAAGTCTGATGAAATGAAAACTATTTCTCAGTTATCCTTTCCAAGGTAAGCAGTATTCGGAAGGATACATCTAGATCTTTTTCCATCTTTTTTGACACACACTCTGACTCTTTTTCTCCTCACTGCTGATGGCACATCACCATGCTTTCCTGTGAAGTCCAGAAGGATGTACTTCATGAGGTTTACAGCTGTAAGTTGTTATCTAAGTACAAATATGCATCTTTTCCTTCAAACAAAATTTCAGTAGCAGGACAAATAAAGTAAAAAGCCAATGTGAAAGATGAAATAAGTTTGTTTTGATTAATAAATAATGAATTAGTAAATAATGAGAATGTGATAAAGTGTTTCTTGGATATAACTGGGTGATTAGTCCACCTTCATTGAGTAGTTGTTTACTTGAGGTAAAATATGGGTAAAAATAGTTTGTGTAAGGCCAAAGCTATTCAAAGTTTCCATTTTTAACAAAGAGATAATATTGGCTTGCCTTTGTTGAGGGAACATGGAATGAATTTGAAGTTTGTTGTCACCACTTTTCCATACACTCAACCACGGTATTCTTCTAGACAGCCTATCAGAGTTGTATGTTAGAGACCCACTTTATGGTGGTTCTGTTCCAACCTAAGTGGGCAGTTCCAGTTGGTGATCATGGGGGGAAGAGCTTGAGTTCATGGGAACAACAGTATGGGGTCCCATGAGGCTTGGTGCTTTCCCCTATTTTGTTCTACATCTAAATGTAACCAGTGCGAGAGGTCATCTATTCAGGGTGAGTTGTCACTAATATGCTGACACTCAACTATATAGCACCACCCCAAGCTAAGCTAAAGATGCCAGGTCGCAGCACAGGTTGCTAGGAAGGCACTGGGCCCAATTCAAAGTGTTGGTTATCACCTCTAAAACCCTATATGGTAGAGCACTGGGATTCATTAAGCACCAACTTGCCAGAATCAAATTGGCCCATCCACAACAAACTTCTAGAGGAGGGATGCTGAGTAGTACAGAGGGCATGGAACAAACAGCAAGCCTTCTTAGTAGCAGCCCCCACAGTTTGGAATGCTTTCCCCAGAGGTACATTCAGCCCTCTATCTCTTTGTGTGTGTCAGAACTATACTGGGGTGCCCTATTATTTGCAGGCTTGTTTATTATTGACTATCTTGTTTATTATGTTCTATGGTTTTATTGTTGTTTATTTGTTCACTGCCCAGAATCTAATCTGGGATAGAAGACAAAGACAAAATAGCAAGGGCAAAATGGAGCTGTTCCCCTCTCTTTTTTAAAAACTCAGAGAGAAACACCTTCCTGTTCCTCATTGGCTGCTCAGGGTTTGAGTTTCCTGGGTTTTACTAGTCCTTGCCCACTATGTAGATTGACAAGTTAATCAAACTTAAACCTTTTTGTATTTGAACATCTTGAGATGTTTTCTCCCCCTTCAACACAGAGAGTTATTGAATAATATCCATTTAATAATTCTAAAAGTGATTACATGATTTTATTTACTCTCTTTCCACCATACGTTCATTGTGGAAGGCAGGCTGAGAAAAATTCAGTAATAATCAAAGAATGATCATATTGTGCACTTTCCTCCTTTAGGCATGGAGACCAATTTGAGCATAGCCTTATATGAAATAATGTAAATTTTCATAGTATTCTGCCTTCTGGGTCTGATTTGCACTGTTTCTTCCTCCTTGTGGCTTAGAGCAATTTCTCCACATTCTGTTCAGTCCCCAACCATGAGAAAAATCCAGGCTGAGTAAGTAACTCTTTAATTTCTATGTTACAGAAATGCAAAACATTAATGAAGCTGACATTTTAAGTGAGGGTACTACCAAATTACAATCTCACTGGATCCATTTATATCAGTAGCAACATTTTTGTATAATGTAAGCTTTTGTCTACCAGATTATCTCCATATCACTGGTGCTGTTTCTTTTCTTCCCCTACTCCCCACACTACCCCTTGATGCCCTTTCGATGCACATAACAACATGAGACTATCTAACATAACCAGAGCATTCACATGTTTAAGGACACAAGAAACTGCAACCCTGTTTGGCTGATTGATTTAAATTATATTCACCATGGCATCATTTTACTTCCATTTTTTCTGCATTTCTCTTATTTTCTTTCTTGCTTCTGGGCCCAAAGCTACATTATAGAAAGTCCATGAAATGCTGTATGAGGCAGTTCACTTTCCTATGTGTATGAAAATGTTATGCAAATGCAAAGAGAAAAGAAAGGGGTATGTTGTATTAGGTTTGCTTATTTATGGGCTTTATACAGTAAGTAGGAAAAATCTACAAGCAGGACATGAGAACAATATTATACTGGTACAAAAGATGCAACATAAACCGCTCCGTTGATCTGATGGGCCACCATGGGATCATTTATGACCTGTGAGGTTGTCTCATACACGTTTTTCCCCCAAAATTTTGTATCCCAGCTAAAAGATCTGTTTGCCCACAAGATCCGTTTGCCCACTGATTCATGGGTAGTCTTTGTTTTCCCAAACCTATTCTATTCCCACATTACCTGAAGTTCATAGTGAGAAGGCATTGTATGAATCTTAATTTAGCAATACGTTAACTGAACAGAATGCCAGTAGTGGATGCTTTCCAGCTCTGACTGATGCAGTGGAGTATATGCCAGAGCTGTTTGTTGATTAATACTCTTCACTCAAGCAACTCCTTTAAAGACACCATTGTTTATATAAGAGGAAATTTAGCACCATATTAGCAGATTTGCTGATGGCTTATTTCTATTAAATGTTTGTGTATGTATTGCATTAGTTTGCATCTGCTTGCTTGTGTTCAGATAACTGAGCAGTTAAAATCATTTCCCTTGCAACATTTTCTCTTCTTTCATTACATGTGTTTTTTAAAAAATGTATAAATGCTGCTTAGATTGACAACAAAATATAATAAGAAAACTAATTCAGCACTTCATCACCTGCCATCCAGGTACATGTAGTCCATTTGCATATGTACACATAATCCGGTTTGGGAAGAAATTGCACATTCCTATTAATCCTGCAGAAGTGGATATTGTTCATGCAACTGTTAATTGTAGTGTGAATTGCACATTAGCCTTCTGCTATGAATGTATTATCTTCGAGTCAATGAGTATATTATGGACGCCATTTCTGTATGCACGTGTGCACACTCAGCTGAGGCTGCTGCAGATGCTGCAGGGAGGATCCCCTGTATATAGAGGTACACATTTGTACTAACAGCCAATGCTGATTTATAGAGGAGAAAAATATGGCAGGAAGTAGAGCAAGTTCACTCCTAGTAAGACTTAGAGATAAATTAGTCTACCAAACATATTAGTTTACCTGCCTTCATTTATTGATGTTAGTATTTATGATCCAAGATCATAAATGGGGATTGGTTGGCAGCATCTAAAAAGTTTGATCAGTGTTTTCATTTGGAGACTAAAAGTAGTTTTTATCTTGTCTGTTTAGAGAAGAAGAACTGCTGTATTTAAATTTCATTCAGGACATAACAGATGAAATTCTGAAACTTGGATTATTTTCCAACAGGTTGGATATATTTAAAGTTCCTTAGTTTTAAATTTTTTGCAGTGATGCATTGGTAAATGGTAAATAACGGAAGAACCAGAGAAGGGTTTGGGGGGAGAAATGTCTAACATAATGGATAAATGCAATCCAGAGGAAAAATTATTCTCTAGGTGACATGAATGGTGAGAATAAGATGAGATAGTGAACATGAATGGTGGGAATAAGATGAGATAGTGAACAAAAGGTGACTAGGCCATTTAGAGACCTAAGAATGAATGAGAAGGGTAACTGACAACTATCCGCTTGGAAAAGGTCTGTTGGTTTTGAATGTGTGGTTTAAGCACCAGTCTATTCATGCACATGCCCAGATAAGGAATCTATGTAAGTCTAAAAGCATGGCTGATTTGATGGTTTATGATGAAAGATTGGGAAAATTAATGAAAGATACAAGGTGATAAGAGGTTCTGAATGTGGGGCAGACCATTATTTGGTAGTTTCAAGAGTAGATCTTGGGAAAAATGAACATGAAGGAATAGGAAAGATGTGAAAGAAACTACACAGTAAAAGAAGAACAACTATAGGAACAGAAAGTAAGACTTCTGTAGGAAAAAAGATCAGAAGGCCAAGGATAAAAGAATTTAACTCTTGAGTGGGAGAATTATTTTGTTTCTATGTTAGAAAATCTGTTAACATTTTGGAGTTGATCATTTTTAATAGTTTCCTTCTGAAAAAAATTACTTCCTGAGTAACACCTTTCCAATATTTTTGGTTTTTAAAGGGCTTTGGAAAGGTTGTTTGAACGTCACATAGAACAAAACAAGAACCATTTAGATAAGGTATGCTGCGTATATGAAAGATCATTTTTAAAGTACTAAGAAAAAAAAAATATTTCTAAAAATTGTCAAGAATATTTATTGATAAACTGATAACTGTAATATGGTTAGGTGGAATAAGCCATCATACCAGAATTATATATTTTAGTAAGTATTCTCTACTTTCATTTATCACTCATACAAAGTACTAAATGTATGAACATGTTACTCATTTAATAATGAGATTTCCTGGATTAATGTCATGTGTGTATGAAGCTTCCTGGACTTGCAGCTCCTGCTTGAAGAGCAGGTGGCAGCTGTGGCCAGAAAGGCCTTTGCACAACCATCTGGTGCGTCAGTTTCGCCCTTTCCTAGAATGGGGAGCCCTTCACACAGTCACTCATTACTAGTCACCTCACAGCTTGATTACTGCAACATGATCTACCTGGGGCTGCCCTTGAAGACTAGACAGAGCTTCAACTGGTCCAGAATGCAGCGGCATGAGAGTGATGTTCATGACGAGGCATGCCCATGTAACACCTCTGCTTCACAAGTTGCACTGGTTGCCAGTTTGCTTCCAGGTGCAATTCAAGGTGCAGGTTGTTACCTCTAAAGCCCTACATAACACAGGGACTGGTTACTTGAGGGACTGCCTGTGTTCCAGAACATCTGCCCAGCCAATTTGAACCTGCAGGATTGGTGCACTCCAAGTTCTTTCAGTTAAACAATGCCACCTATCAGGACCCCAGAAGTGCACCTTCTCTGTAGCAGTGCCTGCTCTCTGGAATGAGGGATCCGGATGGTCCCCACTCTGCTGTTGTTTAGAAGAACTGTGAAGACCTGGCTCTGCATCCAGGCCTTTGGCAAGGGGGAGTGAGATCCCTCGCTTCATTCCTGTCTGTTCTGTTGTCCTTGCTATCTTTTATCTTTCTTCCTTTGATTAGTTTTATTGTAATGTCTTTATTTTGATAGTTGTGAGCCACTCAGAGTTGTTAGGAGTCGGACTGCTTGCAAGTTAATGAATTGAATTGAATTGAGCTATATTACTAGTCTTTTATACAACCTTTCCCCTCCCCCAATCTCTCTGTATTCAATTTCATATAAATAAACAAACCATATTCCTCTTAAGAATGTTTAACAAGTTTACCGTTCTTAGCTATACTGTGCAAGGGAATAAGAATTTCTTTGATACCAGCTCCTAGTGCATGACTACCCAAGTTGATTCGTGAAAATAACCCTTTGATTAACTTCTTGATGGATTTTTAATTTTTTAAAATTCTTTATTACAGGGCATAATCTTTATAATTACTACCACCTAATCTTTTTGCTCTTTCTGTCTCAGAACAAAATGCGCCACCTGCTGGAGATTCTAAAAGTAGACTTGGGCTGCAGCAAGGAGGAAAACTCCATAGGGGTGTCCGACGTATATAGGCATCTACAGAATGAACCAGCAGAGCACCTTCAACTTCCCAGTACAGCCCAGAGCAAAGTGTCAAAAAGTGAAGAGCTTTTAAATGCAATGGATTTAATAGCAAGTGACCCCACCATACACAATGATAAATTCCAGAAAGTGGAAGACCAGGATGAAATTTCCCAAGATATCAAGGAATTACTGAACATTGAGCTGAATCCCCCCTCCTTGAAGACTGATGAAACTCCAGATACCACATGTCCATTGCCACCAACTTCTAGTTCAACCATATGTGATGCTGACTTTGAAACAAGTGAATCTTTGAGAGATGTTGATGAAGTGAAAGAAAGCATGGCGGAATGCCTTCCCATCTCTTTGGACAGTGTCCATTGGTAAACAACCAGCAGCAAAGCACCAAACAGGGCAGTTCATCTAGTCAGCAGTGCAGAGATCTGAACTTTGAAAATTAAATAAAATGCTAGCAAATCAGCCTTTTAAAATTTTCTCTTTGGATGCTATTGCAAAAGAACTTGAAATATTAGAAGTCAGACTTTTCTGAACTGGGCACTAAACCATTGTAAGAGACAGTAGACAAATTTGTCACGTGTAATATAATGCAGTGTTATTTACTGCTGAAAAACCTGGGCATATAATTTTGTGGTATAACATTTATTTTAAAGGGTAGTATATTTATCAAAAAACATTTATAATAAATGACTATAATATTTGCAGTAGTAAAAACTGTCTCTAAATTAATATGCCTGCCCTTCTGAATTCCATTGCAGTAGGTATATACCCTGATCCAGTAATTTCTTACATCTGTGCAGACATCTATTGATACATGCTGTTTAGTGAACCAGGATTGTTTTGTCTGTTTTTCATGGAGAAGAATCCTCCTCTGAAATGCAATATTCAGATGAAGGACTAATCCTTTCAGCTTTTAAAGCAGGAATCAGTTGATGTGAGGGACTGATTCCAGCCTTTGTCTTACCAACAATGGATGATCATGCAGTCATAGTGTTAAACGGTTTTCTGATGTCTTCTTTCACTTGCAGCTGGAAGGAGAAGATTAACTTACTGCTGTTTGCATGATGATAGTAGTTCTCTATCAGGGGTGGTTAATATACTGATCAGTCAAGCCTTTAGACAATAGTCCAAATACAAGTAGTGTGTTTTATTGCATAAATTGGGAACTCTCTCCAAATAGGCTCCATAATAAAGTTCCCACCACATAAAACAGGGTGTGAAGACCTTGAGGAACTCCATCTGTTAAGATTTTAATTTCCATTCACTCTGAGTATCAGGAAGAAAGAGAGGTTGCGCAACAAAACAAAAGCAGAATCACTCAAGCATGCATATGCACATGCCCGCAACACTGTGATATATGCACAGAAGGAATAGGGCTTGTGTTGCAATAGCGTGATGCTTTCAACAGACTGATCAATCTGATACCTCCCTGTGGATGCTGCTGTATGACATCATGGGTGGTAATGGGTCTATTTGAAGGTGGGCAGCAAAACGTTCCATTTTGGTCCTGCTTCTTTGCTGCTTCTCTTGGTCTTGTGGCAAAGAATTGTTACAGCAACTAATTTTTTTCCCAGAAAGCATCCAGGAATAACACAGTATTGTTCCAATAGTCTTTGTTGAATGAATTATGAAAATAGTGTCCACCTACTGATAACACTGGAAAATAGGTATGTTTACGCTGCTTTTCAGTCAAAAGCTCTGTGGAAGAACAATTTTTAAAATGTAGTTGTCCACAGACATGCAAGCTAAGGGACATGATCCAAAAGCAAATAGAAATGATGAGAGAAAAGAGAAAATGTTTTTCCTTTCCTAAAGTTTATAAAATTTCTTACCCAAACTAGCTTAAATGGAAACTTTAGACAAAAGACACACTGAAGCCAATCTTAATTGGCCTGGGTCCTTTCTCTTAAATTTTCTGCAGCTGGATGGAATGGCCATAGCTAGTTGGCTTTTGGTGAAAAGAGATTCAGAGGAAGCAAACCATGGCTGAGTTAATCAAGAGTAAGCAAATAATGTGATCACACTGAATCTAGCTGGTATTTGTATCAGGCTCAGATTAAACATATGAATGAGCTGAGTTGACAAAATTTAATTCTAGAAATCTTTGTTTTATATTCAGAAACCTGTTTTCTGTTCGACTGAAAGCAGCTGTGTCCGCAAATGAACTTCGAAGTTCTAAATTTACTGAAGGAACATGGTGTCCACTTTAGAACTACTAATGATCATCTCAACTGAAGGGATCCAAAAATAATAGTCATAACAAGCTGTTTGGCATGCTTTTAAAAAAAAAAACTTTCCCAGTTGCTTTGTTCATTAAATGCAGACATCTTGAAAATATGTAGCAGTATAAATAATGCCAGATTGCTATGTCAAGGATGGCAGATGTTTGGTTTAAATTTGATGTTTGCCACTCAAAGGGACAAGTCATTTTGGAGCTGCGACTTAGTCAAAGATGGAAGTGTTGGGGTGGCTTGAGTTACTAAATTGGATTGCTCAGGAGAAACCTCTTCCCCCAATAATAAAAAAAGTTTTGCAACCATGCCCCTCAGCACCATCCTACAGGCTTACATGTTTTTGATGTTTCATGCTTCAGTTGGGTGAGGGGAGGAATGCATCATCTGAGCCCCCTCCCTAATAAAAAGGGATAAAAAAACACATGGCTGCAGATCATTATCCTGCCCAATCAAGGATAATTTGAAAATCCCTTCATCTTTCTTTTTTTGGGGTGGGGGTGATAGCCACAATTTTAGAATGAGAACTTCTTAAAAACAGGAACAGTTCAGTAGCAGTAGGTGCTCTTTCAAAGTAGCAAATGTGCTCCAAACTCTATCCACCTGATTTGAACAGCTCTGCTTACTTGCGGTTTCTCAAAAAAAGTTAAATGAGTGTGCCTGTATATGGAGGATCAGGATTCTGCCTTGCAAGGAAAGCAAATTGTCTGACGACAATCCACCCCCCAACTCTCAAGCTGTTATTACTGGGAAAAGAACTTACATTAGCACCAACATTTCTCTCTCAGTTGACTGTGTGTAGTTGGATTTTGAAGAAGACTGCACTGGGACATGAAAGTATTAAAGGAAACTCAGTGTGTACTACAGTCCTGACTAAAGCAGGGCCAGCAATGTAGAGATTTCAAAAGGGTTTGGTAATATTTTCATTTTCTGCCTAGTTTGCCTTTCAGGAGCCACCACAACACGATGTTATCAAGTCTCCTGATGCTCATAATTTTTTAGTATCAGAATGTAAGGGTTGGTGGATACCTTGAAGATCATCTAGTCTTAAGTTCCTGCTCATTGCAGAAATCTTCTACCACAGCATCCAGCAGAAGGAGCATCCAAATCCTCTTGAGGTAGTCTGTTCCATTGCTGAAAAGTTCTTAACATTTGGAAATTTTTCCTGATGTCCAGCAGGAATCTATTTCCTGTAATTTAAATCCATTGTTTCTTGGCCCATCTTCTGAAACAACTCTGAAAAATTCTGCCCTGTCTTCTACATGACAGCCCCTCAGATACTGGAAGACAGCTATCATCTCTCCCTGTCCATTATTTTCCAGTCTAAACATACCCAGTACCTTCAACTATTCCTCACAAGTTTTCTTCCAGAATGCATTCCAGTCTGTCAGGTCCTTCCTAAAATGTGGTGTCCAGCACTGCATAGAATTTTCTAATATTTATTTATTAACTGCTTGTATCACAGAAACTCAAAGCAATTTATGTGATTCCTCTTCTTCCCAAAATAATTCTTGCACAACAATCTTGTGACAAAGAGGCAGCGAAAAACTGGCCGCTCTATTGAGCTTCACAGTTCAGTGGGGCCTTGAATCCAACCTCTTTATTAATCCCACCTATAATTTAGAAGTCAACAAAGTAGCTCCTGCAACACTCATGGATGATGTTGGCAGAGCACCCAATTTGTATTTTAAAAAATTAGAAATGGTCAGAATCTTGCAAGGCGTCCACATTCTTGCATAGAATCTCATGAAATACCAGGTAAAAACATTAACCTGGTAAGATATTAACATTTTATTTTTTTAAAATGTATTTTAATGTCCAAAACAAACAGAAGAGTTACAATCCCTGTTTAAGTTTTACAGCACTGTTCCTTTCCATTGAAGGAAGCCATTTACAACTTTATTTGCCCAAACTCTTTATTTCTTATGCTCAAAGATAACACACTGGGAACACAGAATTGATCTTGAGCCCCATACCAGCACACAGCTCCCAGGAAATGGCATCGTTTTCTTCAGTCTTTGCCAATGTTAAAGGATACTATTTCTGTAGTATGAATGTCTGCAACTAATTACTTGATCTAAAATGTTATGCAACACACAGTTGGAAATAGTTATAATAAATAATTCTATGCGACATGCTTGAAAGTATCCTGTTTTGGATTATGAAATTGACTGGTTTTTATATTATATTATATATATATATATATTTTTATTATTATTATTATTAAAAAGACCAATATTCAGGAAAGTTATGCAACAACTCATGTTTGAAGCGCTTCAAATATTTATTTTCATGGCAAAAATAGACTATGATATAATTCATTTCACATATATTACATATCAAAGAAAAACAACCCTTGCTATCAAATATAATCTGCACATTGTTTTAAGAACCCATCTCAACTGTACATGATTTAAAGCTGTAGCAATTATACATTTTTACACTATTGATTGAGACAAAACAGAGCTTATTGTTTTAAAAAAAACACTTTAGCTTGACATTAAAAAAATAATACTTGAATTTTGAGACACACTACTGCAAGGTACTGCAAAAATCCTTGTATACTGACATAAAAAGAAGAGGGGAAATTGTGTAAAAACCATCGTCTCTTTCACTTGCATAGATTTAATTCTTAAGGCTAGTGGGATGTAGAGGTATCTGTTTCAAGATACAACATACCTTGCAATATCAGCCCCTTCCCCCCGAAGTAACTTTCAGCTCCACATGTTCACATGTTAGAAGAGTGACGTGGGAGTTGCTTTCTTCGACTCCAACCCCAAGTCTCTCCAGTAATGGTAGGACATGAATGATGTTCATAATGCAGGTCCTTTCCAAACAAGGGCTGTTCAGTCCCTTGGAAGGATGCTACTGACATGGGAATGCGCACCACTGTTCATTTATCTTGCCCACGAAGTTCCTTTGCAGAAAAAGCACAGACCTGAATAATTCAAAATAAATCCTATGCCACTGTAGTAGTCTATGAATCCAACTGTGTCTCACAGTAATTCAACAAATGAGGTCAGACATGTTTTGGGTCCAAGATTAATACAAGAAAACAGCATCATGAAGAAAGTCTGTTATTTCCAATTTTATATATTTTGTCTGTAAAGAAAAAGTATGCTTAAACAAGTTTTGGTTATTTTTGAAGCTTTTATGATGATTTAATAGGAACATAGTTTAGCAAACCTAACTGCTCATTTTTATTCTGGAACCTAGAAGTTCATTTTAGATTGTTTCAAACTTCCTTCATATGCTTAAAGGTGGCTCTAATAAAGTAAAATGGCACATGACTTTCCTCCATATGTTTAGGCATAATTTCTTCTCAATCTGTGCTCAAACAAATATTAGAGGACTAAATAAAGTAGTGGAATTTCTAAAAGACATGCATTCTAATACACTAACCAAAACTGTGGTTTGCTTCATCTATATTAAAGCAAATGCTATTTTATTTAGCACCATGGGACTTCTTCAAGGAAAAAACAAACACAGTGGCATTTTCTTCATTTCATAACACAGCATCATGTCACAATTGATTTTGGCCAAACAACATACTAGTTCATTTAGTAAATGTAGTTCAATACATAAAATGCATTTTCAAGAAAATTATGCCCAAAGGATACATTCAGAATAATAGAGCAAGAATTGAGTTGGAAAGAAGTAGATTCCAGTTCCTCCCTATACACTGCAAGAGGGCTTTGCTTCAGTCAAAGATCTAGAATATCCAATATTACAGCTTGGACCTGCACATTTTTCCAAAGTGCAAAATGGCAAGAGAAAGACAAAGAAACTGGTCCCTACAGTATTGTAGTAACAAGATCCACAATTCAGAGAGCATCCTTTCCCCTTTCCATTTTTTTACATTCTTCAAAATATTTTCCTTCCTGCCCAAACTAATATTAGAGTTTACCTGCAGCAACCTGACCTACGATTGCTTTTTGCAGGATAGGAAGGAAAGGAGTATGCCTCATAAAGAAAGGAGTAATTCCATAGTTCTCTGGATTGTACCTAGATTGAACAGTGCAGTATTGTACCACTAAGATTTCTGAACTCTTCCCTTCATTGCACTGAAATAGGTAATCTAAGATGTTTGCTTATAAGTGTGATAGCTTATAAGTCTGATCTTGAGCTTAGCTTTAAGAACTGCAAACCACATACAATCACAAACAGCAAAGCAACCATATAAATCACACTGCTTGCAACAGTCTGTCATCATTCACATGGCAATCACTTAACAAGGTGCATATAATTGTAGATCAGTTTAATATGACTACACTTTGCAGTACATTTTGCTCTATAGTACATGCTAATTAAGGCTATGGGTCATTTGAGTGCAGAGCAGAGAAATCAACCTGTTCTTTCTTACATCTTAGTAAGTATCACTATTAGAAGACATCCAACCTGAGAGACAGAGAAGAGCAGAATCCTTGAGCTCTGACACCCACTGTTGTTTCAAATCAGCTCAGAAATAAGTTAATCCATAACATAAAAATTCCACTTCTCCCTTTCTACCTTGTGCTGCACAAGCCAGGCCAAAATAAACAGAGAACAGTTTCATTATACAGAAAAATTACACTGAATATTTTTCCACAGAACAGAGAAGAGCCAAAAGATAGAATTTAACCAAGCCTTAAAAATTAAAATTTGAATTTTCAAAAAGTATTCGGAATCCACCTTGATAGACCTGGACTACATGTTTGTATATCATATTGCATTTCAAAAATTAAAATGAATGCCCTAGGAATATCATTCTGCAAATTGCTGTACAATATTGTACATACAAAGGCTTCCAAATTTATCTTTAGCCCTCCTTAATGCATGGCCCCATCCCACCTTTAAGAGTTCGTGCAAGATATCTAACTTGCTAAAAAGCTCTTTTGAAGAAGATAGTGTTTTCAAAATGAAATGCTTACTCAAAGAATTTAGGCAAAAGCCCACATCTTAAATAGATCATTTTCAAAAACTGCTACTGTCTGTCACATGGTAAAAATTAGCTGGAAAACTGGTTCATACACACAGATCTCAAGTGGTAAAAAAACAAGGAAAACTGAGTTTGCTTACTGGAAATTAGCATCACTGGTACCGACCAATCTGACTTTTCTGCTTGTTCTTTTTGCCATGAAGAGTAATCAAATACTCAGAGCATCTGAGAAACATCTTTTGACATCTCACTGGAGAGGATATAACACAAGAACAGACTTGGTAAAGTTTAAAAGAAATGTTACTTAGAGTCTGCACCAAAACAGATCAATATGACTTCTGTCTTAACAATAGACAATAATCTCAAAGGCACAGATAGTGCTGCTTTGAAGAAGTAGCTCCCATGTTATTCAAGGTATCACACTATGCTTACTGTGCTGTACAACCGCTCCATCCATCCATCCATCCATCCATCCATCCATCCATCCATCCATCCCCGTCTGTCTCTCCCTCCTTCCCTCCAATCTCTTTGACACAGTATACAGTGTTATGGAAAATACTTTTTTTTTTTTGCTTTTCATATATATATACTTTCCATCAGCTATAACTCAGTTAAAGCAGTAATCATTTCTGCTTTCAGCAACAACATTTTCTAATCTTACAAGGTTATTGGAGGGACTGCTTTGGGGATGTTATCCAGGGGAGAAGAGAAACAAATTTGGTGACTCCAAAAAGGTTCTTTCTTTTTCTTTTTTTACTTTGATAGGGAATTACAAAATTACAAAAAGCAATATTGCAGCCACTTTACTAAATTATGCAAACCAATAGCCACATTCCACATTAAACCAAGTTCTTTTGTACTCACTCCATGTTCAAAACCTTTTACTAAAATGAAAATTTAGTACAGCATGCTAAGCAGATAAACATACTGCTTCCCTAGATAAATATTTAAGAAGTGTTTAAATATTCACCTGTATTTAGCTTGATTTCAACCAGAAGTAGCAAACTGTTCTTTAAATAAATCATTCTGAAGCTACACTTCATCAATAATTACCTTCTGAAGTGTTGAAGAGCTATATAGGATTTGCAATACTTTTTCCTTTTCTTTTTGGTCTAGAATGTGACCCAACAATAAACTGTTGGAGGATAAAACAGGAGCAGCTGTAACTTTTTGTCCTGGCTTTTGCCATCCCATTTTCTTTCTGTTTCCTTCAAAGATTTGCCAACGACTTGTTTTATGACACCACAAACTTTACCAACCATTATCATCTTCCATTTAATCCTTTTTCCCTTTACAAATCTTGAGCAAAAAACTCAATTACTTTTATTGTGTGCTGTCTGTAGCCTGCAGCTTCCAGAGGAGTGCCCCACCCCCAGCAAAAGAAAACCCAACACTCTCTGCCTTAAGTGCTTCCTTTAATGGCTTTTTGCTGATGCTGGTTCCATTATAAAATCAGTATAATACACACACACAGACACACAGACACACACAGACTGAAGTATAAAACTCAAGCACAATGATGCCATTTGTGACTACTGTTTATGCAGGGCACACTTCTTTCACACACAGTATATCTACAAGTATACATAGGTATAGCTTTTAATTAATAAAAAAATAACCATCATGATTTTCAGTATGGTGCAGTAGTGTCTTCATAGGATCAGCAGTTGTGTGCCTACAGTAACGCAGTCTTATCAGTACATTAAAAATACAATACATCACTCAATACATTACAATACATATTCCCATTTCAAAATACCCACACACATTCCTTTCCTCTTCCACATGAATGAAGGAAGGAACCCATGCACTTCATGTCTTGCTCTGCAAAAGCAATGTCAAGTTGCATTCAGAATCTTCAAACTACATGAGAAGCATGTTCTCCTGGAAGGCAAACTTCTGCTTTTGTAAACTCTTGCAAAGAATGAGACTTTGAAGTTGAGTGGAGAAAACTTATATAAGCCTCGAACTCTTAAGAAACTGGATAAGAACTCCATAGACGAACGTGTATTGGCTTAGGGTTTGCACCATCATCATCCTTTGCTGCCTCAGCATTTCTAGCATCCTTGGGATATCCAGTGCCTAAAAAAACACACACACAAGTTGGAAAATGATTATTCAAGTGGTGATAGTAAGCAGCAACTGATGTAATGGGCTGTGAGAATAACTTTGGAAGACAGGAGGAGGGGCCACAGCCTAGACAATGATCAGACAAAAAATATCTCAGCCCAGAGAAGGGATGGGGATGGAGAAAGTATCTCAGAAGGAACCCTCCCTAGTTCTCTGGAAAATAAAGGCAAGGAAGGGGAGAAGTGCTTTCAGACTTTCAAGATTATGTTACTATAACCATACAGTAAGGGTAGTATTAGTACTCATGATTTTGGTTTCTTGTCTGGACTACCTTGAAGGGCTGACAACTATATAGATACTTAAGTTACAAGTCTTTAAATATCAGAGGATGGAAAGAGACAGGAGAGGAAGGAAATGACATGATATTCTATTTGTGCTCTGCTCTGACAATAGGTATTTAGGAATCTTCCTGGAGAAAACATGCTAGTTTTTGTAGACTCTGGTTTGAAGAAAGGCAACTGGTATGTTTTTGATGCCTAACTCTGTCATTTCCAATCTAACATGGAGACAAGCACATTACGATTAATCACCATTATCCAATAGTTACCCCAATCTTGAAAGAAGGTTGGCCACACTGCGAGGATTAGCACTCTATGAAATAATCTTTAGCTGGGTTCCTCAATGGGTATCCCCTTTGACTCCCATAATCCCTAGTTTAAAAATTAAGAAATAACCTCATTGTGCTCCAAACAGGCAATCATGATCTCTGATAAGATGACCACTCCAGTTCTTCCTACCCCAGCACTACAGTGCACCAGCAGAGGGGGGTTGGGAATTGCAGGGTCTGCAGTACTGTTGGTATGGCGCCGTACTGACTGTATCTCTTCCAAATATGCTGTTGGGTCCAGTGGAAAAGAAGAAAGGGAAAATTATTTAAATTGGGTATCACTGATATATTTTTTGGATTTTGTAGTAAGAAAAACGTGCTTGATATATCTGAATTCCACCTATATATTGAACTGTTCAACTCTGAGCTCAGAAATTAAACAAAATTGGGCTTAGTACTTGGATGGGAGATCTTAAGAGAACATCAGGCCTGTAAGCTGGATAAGATGATGCAAAACACCCTGGAAAAAGATACTGCAAGCCACTTCTATATTGCAGCCAAGAAAACTACAAGAATGTATCCATCAAATCACTTGGAGTTGACTCAAGAGAGAATTTAGCAGTGCTACATACATACCTGTAAATGTGTCTATTCAGCCCAATGTAACAAACAAATAAATATACATTCTGTTTAAATATTTTGCCTTCAAACTAGGAATTTATTTACATAACTTATAATTAACTTTATCCACTGAAATGTTGGTATATTTCTTTCAATAAGCTTCAGGCTTGCATGCTTCTCACAAACTACCCTTCTGAAATGAGATGAATTTGCTTCTGTGTCTCCTTAACCACAATTTCTCATTTTCTCTTAGCTGACAAATTGTGATTAAAATGTCATGACTGATTACTTGAAAGTATGACTGAAGCTCCAAACAAAACAACAGGAATGAAAACAAAAGTATCCTCAATTCTTACAGCAATGTGGGAGGAAGATTAGGGGTAATGTATAAAATGCACAATGATTCATATTATATTAAACTCTGTTTTAGCACAGAGGCTAAACAGCCATTGACAGTGTCCATGTACTACATAAATTGCTCTGTCTCTCTCTCTCTCACACACACACACACACACACACACACACACACTGTAATCTTGTGAGAACACCAAACCTTACAAGATTTCAGCATTTTTACAATGTATCTCAGGGCTGAGTTGGCCTGAATCTTCTGAGATTTAGGGTAATGTTGGGATAAGGTAACCTTACTATTAGATGCAATAGCACTCAGATCACATAGTGGAAGGTGTATATTTAGATTTCATTCACAGCCTGGGATATCTTAGCTGTAAGGCAAAACTAGCTATTCAAGCCTTTCTTTAGATATCCCCCATATCTCCAGCCTTACAAACAGGCCTTTTAAACATTTAAACTAAAGGCAGCATACAGATTATATAGTTTTCCATGCAGGCAATTATCAGCCCCAGACCTACTTTGTTTCAGCAGGTTTCCTACATTATGTGCTTTCACATAAGAGAAGAAATAACAGAAGATGAACAATAAATAAAAAAACAAAAATAAAGATAAAAACATACACAGAAACCCTTTTGTGTCTTCTGGGCAGCCATGCTCTGGCCAGTCAGTGTACTGAAGATGCCAAACTGTTCTCTCTTGTCCTGTGAGGAGGTGTTTGATCTTCAAACCTGTGGTGGCATAGCAACCAGAGTCTGTCCGGAATCGAGTGGTAATCTTGAATCTCCCATAAGTCACTGTGTTATGCCTTGAACCAAGTCGTGGCCAGTATCGGAAGCTTTTCTCACGGCCACCTTCCTGCAAACGTTAAGTTTAATCAGCAAAAGTATAAACATGACCTGGGTGTAGCTGTAGAATGTTCCACAACACTTATTTTTAATATATTATTTATTATTTTGAGGCAAGGAGTTAGTAATGTTTCATCCCTTATTTAATCTCTTCAAATAACTTGTAATCCAAATTGGGCTGAGAGTTTCATGGGCCAATGAGATACATGAATCAGCAGGTATCCATGTATGTATTGCTTGTTCCTAAAACAGCTGCATCTGAACTTGAAATCCCACAAACATATTGGAACTGCAACTTCCCACATTTTCAGACAGGATGAGACTGGCTGACAATTCTAGTAGTTATAGTCCCCAAACATCTAGAAGGCACCAAACTGGGATAAACTGTGTGTTGGTTTTGATTGATTTTCCATACTGGTTCTTTACAGCATTTTCTGGACCCCAATCAAGACAAAATCAGCTTAAACAGAAGGCTAACCCATACATTCATTTCATAATTGTGTTTTTGAGGGCAAAGATATGATTCAGGAAGATAGATTTACCTCTTCTGCCGTCACCATGGTTATAATGGCAACCCCTTGCTCCCACACCATCTGCCAGAAATCTTGGCATGTATTCTGCAAAGGACCTTGGGTAGCAATATAATCCCATTCCATACCCCCAACACAGACCTGTAAAATAAGAAACAGGATATGGATACCAAGGTTATGAAAGGATACTAGTTCATAATGCAAGAAATGGAAGGAGAAAAAGCTAGCCATATTCTTTAATCTCTGTATTTAATCCCAGAAACAGAGATTTGTAATAGCTAAATGCTAAAAATGGAAGCAAAATAAATGTTCATTTTTTTCTCTTAAACATGGTTCCTTCCATACCAATCAGAAGGATCAAAAGATGTTTTGTGGGGCCATAACCTCCAGGAAAAAAAAAAAATTAGAGAACGCCTTTTTCAGTGAATTTCACGGTAAAGATAAGGCTAAGAAATCATTTTATGCTTACATTCTTGAGCTTATATAGTGCTAAGCAGCACTCCCCAATCTGCGCTTTCTTGCTGTGTCAGACTACATTTTTTTTTGGCATTATTGAGCAGTTAAATTAGCTTACACATATTTTGAGTATGATTTCAGGTTTTTTGGGGGGGGAGGTATTTTAAGAAGTGTTTGAAAGTTAAGTGGAAGAACTGTTCATGAATATATATCTTATTTCTGACCCTACCTTAATGTGTGATGCGTTGATATAACCCGTATTATTTTCCTTAGTAGGGACTAGCTCAACTCTGGTGTCATCATAAGGAAGCACATCCTGAAATCGGTTCCTTTCTGCATTTTCTGGGAGACGGGCTATTGAACAGTCACCTTCCACAAGCCTTTTCTTCTGTATCCGTTCATATTCTGTAAACACCATCCCTTGGTCTAACCGTTGTTCCAAACCTTTAAACTAAAAAGATATAAAAATAGAGGGAATCACACTAGAGCTTTTCCCCTCCACAAATATGTGGTAGTACAAAAATATGGGTTATTTAAAAACTAATTAATATGTAATTTCCCATTTTACATTTTCTGAATTTATCTAAAACATTCTTGCCTTTCTCCTCAAGCCAGGTTTCCCAATGGCTCATAACATATTTAAAATATTTGTATGCTCCTTCCCACTGTTACAAACCATGGCAAACATACTAAAACAATTTGAATAATTTACATGCATGTAATAATAAAAACTAGCACTGAACCTCCAAACAGCCAAGCCTCTGAAATGAGATGAAGCCAAAGATCATTCGGAAAGCTCAGTGCCATCACAGAATAGGCCCTGCGCTCTATTTAGGGCCACTGACCCTACTCTGAGACACACAGATCAGGGAACCAATATCAGAAGATTGTAATATAGTGGTTGGTATCTACCATTTCATATACCAACTGTCTGCTGTATGAAGGCTGCCTAGGAAACAAGTGTCATGATAAGTACAGGATAACATTTTAAACCATTTTTAATGAAGAAATAACTGACTAAACAAAAATAAATAAATAAATCCAGCTTCAAACATACATGTGCTCTAAGCAGTTAAAAGACTCTGGCACAAGTTTGACAGGCTGATGACCAATCTTATCTTTGTGTCAAAAATTAATTTAGATAGCCAAGTTTGAATAACTAAACACTGGATATGAATTTTCAACATATAATCACAGTCCTAGGAAAACATCAGACCAACCCGTTCATCATTTGTTGCTCTGGGAGGTTCCTCCTTTCCCTCATTTGGCAGAGGAAGACGAGATAATGTTAGTCCATTCAGAGCTGCTAACTTCAAAGGTCCCATTTTTTTAGCTTCAGCTCTGTTCTTTTTCATTACCTGTTAGAACAAGACAATCTTTCAAAATACATTGTGACAGAAACCAGAGACAAATTGGATTGTTGGAGGAGCAACAAGATTGGGGCACAACCAGAGAGAAAAACACTTCTAGCCTTACTTCTGCAAGCACTAAGTAAGAGCACACTATCAGGTCCTCTGGCTAGTAGAATTCTACAGATAATGACAGCAAAGCAATATTCTTCCCATGTTGCCCAGATGCATTTCATCCTCAAGTTTCTGAAATTTCATAGGATTAATAAACAGACTTACCCAAAACAGTGGACTTTCATGAACAGTGATAATCAACAACTGAGCATTAGGGTACAGCAGCTACAACCACAGGGATATCAATTTATTCAGTAAGAATTTTTAAAATCTTGCTCTTTCTTCATGGAACTCAAGGAGAAGCAGATATAAATCCTTTCCTATATATATTCAAAATAACCCTGCAAGATAGGCGAGGCTTAGAGTGCAGAAGCCCAAACTTTGCAGCTAAACAAGGATATGAACTCTTCCCCCTCCAAGTCCAGTACTCCAAGACCCCGGATAGTCTTGGACTGCAATCCTCACCATCTGTAACAACTGGCCATGCTGGCTAGGAGTGACAGGAGTTGTTCTGCCCATCCTTGTTCTAACTATAAAATACAAGACTGGGGACTTGAAAAGATTCTGTGGGGTCAGGGGGGATAAAAATTCTCTGCAGGGGACTAAGGGGAAAAAAGCCTTGGTTCCTTGTAGAGAGGATTATTTTTTCCCCTTGGTCCCTTACAGAAAGGCAAAAAAACAAAACAAAACCATCTCTCCACAAGGGACTAAAAAAAAACCTCTCCACAAAGGATCCCTAGTGGAGATTTTTTTCCCTCTCTCTTAGTCACTAAGATACAGCAGAAAGGATGGGGGTTGCCTTTTGGCATTCAGAAGCCCTACCACTCTTGATCAGTGGATCCTGGAAGGTTTTTTCCCCCCAACTATTTATTCATTTAATCAACTGTATGGACCCCATCTCAACAAATGACTCTGGGTGGCAAACAATATTAACCAACTCTTTTTACATCTTTAACCAGCATAGTCTAATGCATCTGCAGAACACTAAGTTAGGAAAAGTTGTGGATTGCACTGGATTTCTTTCCCCTACACCTGTGAGAGTCCTTCCTTTCTGTTCATTATTGTCTGGAAAGTAGCAATGGGTCTTCACTGCCTGTGGCTTGTTTCCTGGAGCAAAGCTTCAAGGATCTAGACAAAAAGGTATCTATGTTTTCCCCAAACACATCCTGCTTACCCGGTTGTGTGCTAATTACATGAGACATGGCCGGTCAGTGACAAGGGAATGCTTGTAAAGCCATTTGGGGAATAAAAGCCCAATTCACACATCCATTATACCGATTGCATGTTATAGTTCTTCTCTTGGCTATTAACCATGTGATCATATATATGGTAGCAAGAAAGTACCGTGAAGGAAATTATATGAGAACTGCCACTCTAACTTCAGAATACTAAACTGAGAAATACATCTCTCTATGCTTTTTAGTATTACACTGTAAACTCCTCACGAAAGAATCCAAATTGTAAGCAAAACAGAAAGCTTCAGGAAAAGTTATTTTCAAATTTATTTTGTATAGAAAACTCTGATTCAGTTTCTATTAAACCATGGGAGGGGGGAAAGAAATATATCCAGAGCACACTGAAGCAATTGAAAGAAATATATCCAGAGCACATTGTGATTCTAATACTCTACAGCTAGCACTGCCCTTCTATTTACTAACAATTCTGGTTTTTGAAATTTCATGAAGTATTACCAGCAGATTTCAGATATATTTGCTGAAGTGGAAGTACTAGAAAACTGCTTAAATGAGTTTGGCTCCTTAGGAAATTAAACTCATATTTTGACCATTTATCTTTCTAGAAAATCATAGAATACACATAGTACTACCTCAAATACCAATTAGTATTTAACTGCCAGAATTTGAATATCTTTGTTAGGACATATGCAAGATCCTAAAAATTCAACCTATTTACCTTTCAAAATCCTATTTACCTTTCAAAATCCAGAAAGTTGTGAGGTTAGCAAGTTGAACTTTCAGCTCGACAGGTAATTTCTAATTATTATACTCTAATAAAAACACAATTCAATGCTGCTTATCAGAAAATAAGTACAGAAGGAAAGCATGATTTCCTGTTAGCTATAAATGAATATAATAGTCCTTTTTTCAGGTGTAATTGTGTAGATTTGAACACATCTATGCTAGAAAAAAAAAGCTTCCTAAGATTGCACACCAAAAATACCCTATGATATCAATAGGATTCTTGCACTATTCTTGTGAGAGAAAGCTAAGAATAGAGGTCTGAGCATATATCATGCTTTACAGGTGTGTGTAACAAGGAAAGATTAGGGGTGTGGGAGGGGGAGAAAGAAACTTAGCTGAAGAGATAATTACAAACATACAAACAGCACTCAAGGACAAACTATATTAAAGCTGTAATGATGGCCAGTCTTTAGGTCTAAAAGCAGCTTTTTTAAAACCAAAAATGTAAAATCCAATAAACAATTCTTGTTGAAAAAGATGTAACTTCAAATTAAATAACATAAATCCAGGAGTTTGCTTACTACTTAAAACTTGCATCACAAATTTTCTACTTTTCACAATATAATTGGGAACTCTGGGGTGGGGTGGGGTGGGGTGGGGGGACTCAATTCATTGCTAACACTGCTGAATACATACAAGAAAGAAGTCTTTACAAATCAACAAAAATTGTAAGCAGAAGCCAGGGAAGAATCTAGAATAATAAATGCCTGGTGAAAGACAGAACACTTGGAGATATTAGTGCAGCTAGGCAGGAAGACATGGTGTGTTTCAGTAGGACCATTAAACAATTCCATGTGGATCAATTTCTATGTGGGTATTAACATGAGATCTCGGTATAGTTAACATGTTACCCCTGTATATACTAGCTTTCTCCAGTCTGGTGCCCTCTAAATGTATTGGGATTGTAACTCCACTCGCTAGCTACAAATACTGGGAGTTTTCACTCCAGCTCATCTGGAAGATGCCAGGTTAGAAAAAAAAGGTACGTACAACGAAGGTAAACTACATAGAAAAGCTGATATTAACATAAAGCACCTAATCCAGAAAGGAATTTTGTAATTTGTTAAATAGATTTTCTGCCATTAAACTTGACAGAAGTCCATGGAATATAATGGGAAAGGGCCATAGCTTGAAAATAAACCACATTCCTTCCATGTTCGGTTGCCTACAAATCCCATGAAAAGCTGCTAACAATAGGTGGACCTGACAGAGACACGTGCTTACAATGTCCACGGGTCTCCTGATTGGTTCAGGAGAGGAGCTTTTCAAATATGACATAAAAAGGGAAAAGAAGAAAATCTTGAGAAAACTCACCCCTAGAGGAGGCAGCCCTTCTACAATATTCTTCTTCCCTGACAGTAATTCAGACACTGGTCTCTTCTTTACAGAATCCTTCCGCACTCTATACCGGGCAGAAATGGTTAGGTCAGACTCAGACACAGATGGAGTTAACAGCCCATCTCCTCTCCTTAGCACCTGAGAGTCACCCATGATGTGTGAGGGACTCACATCTTTTACCCTCTTGTCAGTCTCAGTAATATGCAATTTAGGCTCATGTATATGTAAAGGGCCAGGTGGAGAAGGAACAGAACTATAAGGATAGTTCAGTAAAGATTCCGTTGGATAACATGCCATTAGGGAAGGAAGCTGGGGTTTTTCATTGATGAATGGCAGAGCTGGATTAGCCTTGTTTTCTTCTTCACATTCTTCCTCTTCCTCACTGCTATGAATAAGCATAGTTGCATCTGAAAGAGATTTCTTATGCCCATAACTCACATTGTCCTCTTGCTCCTCAATTTCTTCTCGTTTTGCCCTTTCTAGGAAAACAGAAGTCTGTGATCCAGCAGGGATCACCTTTGGATGAGCCACATCTGCAGTTGATGCTGACATGGTTCTCTCTTTAATCCTCATAGCCTCAAAACTGTGTGCCAGGCCAGCAATTTCAATACTGTTTCTCTTCTGCAATTGAGCATGCCGGGCTGATGTTAAAGGCTCACTCACTTCCTGAAGAGAATGGGCAACTGGCAGACTGTCCTCCTGGAACGTCTGGACAGAGTGATGGACCCGTCGGGTGATGAGATCAGGATTGCTGTTACTGCTGTAGAGGTGTCTAGATAGATCTGGCGTGCTGTTAGCGGGTCGTGGATAAGGAGGTGGGGGGCGATATACTTGAGTCTTCATGATGTTTGGTGCAGGATAATCTTGGGCCTGCAACTGAACATTTGTTAGCTCAGGAACGCTCACTGCTCCAACTACCAAGCGCCTTTCAGCAGGATACGGATACGAGGACTGGCTGTGGAAGCTGTAATTCAGGTTAAATGGGTAATGACTAGAATGAGGGGAAGCAAAGTTAGCATGTTCTCGAATTTCAGGCTGACTGTACACCAGGGCATCAGGCCTACTGTAAGCATATGAATTGCCTATATTTAGATTTCTCATGGAATGACTCTGTTTGTCTGAATTCATCATTCCTCGGTTTAGTTGTTTCATCACAGTCTCATAATCTGGGGTAGGCCGATAAGAAGGTGGTATTAGGGCACTATGCCGATGTGATGGGACATAATCGGAATGGAGGACATCACTGCCAGTAATGCTTGGGTTGGAGGACATAGGTGATGGCTGCATATAGTGCTGCAGGTTATTCAAGGAATTTGTGCTGTGAGCGCTGTAGACACTGCCGTTGCGGATTCTGCCATTATAGTCATGTGGAGCTCTGTCCAGGCTGGTCTGAGAGTGACAGTAATAGCCATTCTGGTTAGTCCCATAGAGATTATCTGAAATACAAATGTTTGCACCTATTTATACCCACAAAATGGTAAAACAGAGACAAAAAACAGTTATCATAGAATCAATCCTCCACCTCACCAATGAGTTTTTACAATTAAAAATAAAGCCATGCCTTCTTGGGTAAATAAATGACAACTTCATTGTCAATACTTAAATACTTAAAGGGCAAGACAGCTAATTCGAGGCCACTGGCAAAAGCAGCTTCTACTTAATGAAATGCATGGATATATATGAAATAAAGCCATGCGTAGGCATTCATTTTGCTCATTTGAGTACATGAGCAGATCCACCTGCAATATCCTGTCTGCTCACTCCCCAGTCTTCCCATTCTGAGAAGGAAAGCCTGAAGTAGACTGGTGTGTGTGTGTGTGAGAGAGAGAGAACAAGAGCGAACAAGGTACAGGTGAAAAGAAAAGCGTCCCTCTCCAGCTGCTATTTTCTTCCCAACACCCTCCTTATACTGTAATCAGCTACAGAGTGGCTTTTTTCAGCCGAAGAACAGAGTAAAATTGCTTAAAGGCTTTTTACTGGCAATATTAGGAGACTTTTTCAAATCTAACTGTTGCAAATACAGTACACATAAGTGTGTGAAACCTTGGCCCTTGACACCGCTGGCATATAGCTTCCAGAAGGCTACCTATGAGTGAATGCTGTTCTTGTAATGAAAAATCATCCTCCTTGCCTACCAGCTGAACAAGTAAGCTTTTAGTAATTACTTCTTACTCTCCCTCTAAAATATTTTAATAGTATGACTATGAATTATGAAGTTCACTGGTTCTATTTTGCTCTTGTATTTTCCAGCTGGAAACTTATGGTAATATGCAGTAAAAAGAGACAATAGCTCAAGGGTAGAACATATATTTTGTAGAAAGAACTAGGTTCAATCTCCTGAGCCTCCAGTTTAAAGATACAGATAACGCATGATCAGAAGGAGTCTGGTAGCACCTTTTTCAACTAACACATTTTATCAAAAGGCATAGGCTTTCATGGGCTGCAGCCACAAAAGGTGCCACCAGACACCTCAGATTTTTTGTTTTGGTTTGTTTTGCCATCATAGAAAAGCATGGCTCTCCTCCTACAATGTCTACAAAATAGCACATGATGGAAAAGATTTTGATAGGAGTACTTGAAGATTGTTAAATTAGGTTGGCTGTTGAGACTGGCAACAAACAATTTGATCTGGGACAAGGCAGCATCTTCTCTTCTTACATTAGAGCAATACAATCAGTTTCTTATTCAGTACTAAGCAGTTTGCATGTTCTCCTAAGCTATGTTTTGTTTAACCATAGTTTACTGAATAAACCACAGTTGTTGCATTTACATACTATATTATGACTTCATGTGAATCCAACCACTGACTATGCCAAGAACTGCCTAGCATTAACTATTAATGGTTCCTCAATGATGCCTTCCCAATGTTTTCAGGCTACAACATTCAGAATTCCCAACCTATATAATCAAATGTTGAGAATTCTTGAAGATATGATCCCAACACATTGAGAGGAAGCCAGGTTAAGGAAGACAGCATAATGGCACTTCAGAATCTATTTTTCCCCAAATTTTTCAATGATTCATTTGCAGAGTATTCCCATTTCCTAAAAATGCTGAAACTTTACCTTGTGAGGATGTATATGGTTCTGGGTAGTGTCCATTGTAGTGTAACTGAGGTGGTGGCATCATATAAGGCTGTGGTTTGGACTGCTAGAGAGAGATTGAAGTAAGCAAACATAAACATCAGATAATAATAGAAATTTAAACTTTACTTCAATTCTAACATCCATTTGCACTTTGAGCACAAGAATAAAGATTCTGGCTAATTAATATAATTAAAAATTACAATAATGTTTTACAGAGATGAAGGATCTGGGTTCATCTCAGAGTTCCTGTCTATAAAAAAAAAATTGAATCAAGATATCTGTACAACCAAATCTTGAACAGCTAAAATGTATCTCTTGAATTTTATATAAAATATGCTACACCACCTTTCACCCCTCTGCCCTAGAATTTGCAATAAGTCTATTAAGCCAAGCATATACATTAACTAATTCAGGCTACTACTGTGGATTTGCTCAGCTGTGCAAAACCTGGATTAGTCAACAAAATCAGTACATTAGCAATGGCCTCAAACTTGCATTGCCAAGAAAACCTAAAGTTGAAAGGAGATATCAATTCACATTTCAGAAAGTTTGAAAGTTATATAGGCAAACTCTGATTCCATCAGCAATTACTTTATGTCAACAACACTTTCTTTGTTAATGGCTAGCTTTAGTATCATTGATAGGTCTTTAAAAAAAAAAGCAACCCAAGGAATAAGAAACAGCTCAGATATAGAGTGCTTACCAGAGACATCCTGGAAGACGATCGCCTTCTAACTGGATTCACTGTCACTGTCTGAGCTTGTCTACAAAGCATAATGACATAATACATATTTTACAGTCACATCAATCACAGTGCAATCCTATTCATGTATATTCATTAGTTTCAGTATGCTTAGCGGGAGCGTCTTTAAGACTGTAGTTTGTAATAATTCAAATTCATAAGATGATTCTTCTCCCAAAGAACCACTTGCCACCACATTATAAATGTAGGCTTAATCCCCCACAGCTGGAAGCATATTGCATCAAATCAAAATAATGTATGTTAGTAAACGCATCTTCTCTAGTGGCAGTCAAAAAGACTATGAATACTCATCAGATGATACAGCAATATTGCACTCACACTAGAATGCCGGGGGGAAACCATTTAGGTTTTCAGAAATGCAACCAACTATGAAAAATGATATACAGAACAGTATTGCTTAGCCATAAGCAGAGTCCATCTACTTGAGCTGTAGCTAATCCAGCTACAACCTAATCACAAGTATATGCTTAATCATAACTGGTGAATTTCTAAGCAAACTTCAAAATAATCTTTCCCCCGTTAGTTGATAGACTAAATGTTAGAGAGGAGAAGTTTTATTTTTGTCAAATCACAATGCCATATGTAACTTTATCAAACAGTGAATAGGATAGACTGGCAAAGATGGACAGAGCAGTATGCATCGCTAGACATGCATACCCACTTTTCAAGTAAGCCATGCCTGCACTGATTGGATTTCTCTGGGCTGTGATATAATTATGTCAATCAAAATTATTCCAAAATTGAATTTTGCATCTCACTTATATACTACAAAATATATAGTAAGATGCATGAAAAGCATCTCATATAATGTTCCACATAGCTTGTCGTAGCAATTGAAAAATAAAACAATATTATTCTAATCCTGTGATTTAAGTTGCTTCAAACAAAAATACCAGGTATCATCTTTTTGAATTTTTACACAATTAATTTCAGTGTGTTTTTTTCTCCATAAAGAAATACAAGGAGGAAGAGATATAATAATGCTTTTTGATTAGCAGTGCTCAGATTCATCCATCTGGAAGGAAACTATATCAATGTTCAAATGTCAAACACGGTTTTTTATTAAGTGCAGGTGAGACAGTGACCTATCACCAGTCTGTTTTCTTTCCCTTCCTCCAGGGATAAGCAAGTTGCTAACTTATTGTGAAATACCTAGTACAATTTGGGAATGGGGGTCTGTAAAATATATATAGATTGTTTTAAGGTAGTAAACTATGGTTAAAATATAGTTTATCTGTTGTCTTGCTGATTGCAACTATGATTTAGCAAGGCTGATTTTTTGTGGTTTATGATTTCTTTTTATGCCATGTCCCAAACATCTAACCAGTCCAGAGAGATGGATGACAAGAGCCATTAAAAAGAATAAAAAATGCCAAGAATTGAAAATAGGAACTATGGTTGTTCACCTAAAAGTCTTGTTTATAACCTACTCCTCAAACCATGGCTAAAACCTATTATAGCTTAAAACATGTGAATGTATCCATTCTATATGAAATTCTTGGCTTTTGAACTTTCTCTGATCGAGCTCTGTTCCCACATACAAAAGGGGCAGTACATTGTTTAAGGATCCCTGAAATAAGATAATTTTCTGTGCAGAAGCTCATCCACACAGTTTCTTTTTGCTTATCTTGTATCCCATATTAATTGGCCATATGACAGAAATCATTGGCTCGTCAACATTATGTTTACCTATTCTTGCAAACAAAGTTTCATAAAAACCTGGCCTGGCACATTCTATTTGCAATGCCAACCTAATATATTCTGAAACAAAATGTCAAACCTGACATACCCACCCCCACCTCCTTCATATGTTTAAGGACACAGACAGAGATAGGGAAATGGTGTTTTTATTGGAATTCAATGTTCAAAGGGATGGCTTCTTTGAATCATATCACTGTGAGGGCACAAGTAAATATGGGAGCACTACAAATACTAGACATGCAAAATGTGCAGGAGGAAAGAAGAAAGAAAAAGAGTTTGTTTTTTGGCTCACCCTTTGGGCAGAGAAGGACGAGAAAGGATTGGAAAGCGTGGAAAGGCAAGAATGAGGAAAGATTTCTGAGAGCCTTCCTCAGGCGAAGAATCTGGGGAGTCTCTAAAGACAAGGTACATGCAGATAAAACATAGGCTATGAAATAGCACATTGAGAAAAAGGATGTTGGCTATAAACAAACATGACATCATAATAGATTTTCAAGTGGATATCTTAAGGGTGACATCTCTCATTTGGTTATGACCTCCCAACCCTTCCTAGACAGCAGAATGCAAACAGAAACTTGTTTTTACAGAAGAGTTCTGTTAGACAGCTATGAAAACCCGTGATCTCTGATTTTAACCAGGCCTGAGTTAAAAGGAAAAGAATGAGTACTACTATTTTAAAATGTGAATTCCTAATCCACATAAAAGGTTAAAAACTCCCTTGAGCTAAACTTAACCCCTGCTGACTTCATGGACATGTTTATATAGTTTTCTTGACAACAGTACAGAACTATTTTGCATCCTCATAGCTAGGGGAAAAAAAGCGAGCTGTGTAGATTAAGCAAACTAGGAGACAAAAAAATATTCAAATACATGCTTAAATCCCAAGTCCAATATTAGGCAGAAAAGAGTTTTATTTGGTTGTACATTTATTTTGAGAAGCAAACCTGTTGGTTTGGTATACATCTTAATATGGTATACATCTACCATATTAAGGTATGCATGAATCCTGTCTATGATCTGAAACTCAGCAACATCTTCCATGAACAATTCTTTTTTTAAAATCAATAACATGAACTACATACAAATAGAGTAATTACATGCAATTACAGAGCAAAAGCATCACCACCACCTCCAGTCTCATTTTGCAACCTTCAGACCTCCAAGGACCAACACTGAAATTCTGGCAATTTTGGCTAGTACGATTAACCCTCCTTCTCTTTCTTTTATACTTTATGGCTTAAAATAGATGTGTCTCCACTCTCTGCAAAGGCTTTAAAATGTTTCTAAAAGGAAAATGCAAAAATGTGTAAAAAAGGTAGCTAAAGTCTGTAAAGTTATGGCTTTCTAGTACTAAGAAGCTTAGCAAAGGTGCTTGACTATTTAAATTATGAAAAGTTTCAGAGATAAGTTTCAGGTCACAGAAGGCGGGGGGAAAGAAGCATTGTAATAAGCATCATATCCTCCAGCATGGCTGTCCCTAAAGCTCCATTTCCATTCCTTGTCTGTTCTTAGAAGCAGACATCTTTCTTCTTTTTTGCTTACATTAAAAAAATTTTTTTTTTAAATTTCAAAAATATAGATTGTGCTGGTACATTTTAACACGCCCATGTTGTTTGATACAAACTGTTTCCAGGATGCTTATCTGTTACATAAACAATGAAATTCCATCATTCCTTGTAAAACAATTATTCATTACTTTAGCCTGTCATACAATCCATTTTATCAGATACTTTATCAAGCAAAGCTACAGACCAGATGTTATCATGCCATCTATCCATTGAAATGTTACCCTGATACTTTCAGTTTAACAATAACTAATTTGACTGCCATAAACAAAAACCTAATGTGTGTGTGCGTGGTTTTTTTTGGTTTGCAATGTCTTATTCTGGCCATCTAATGTGTGTAGCAAACCTACACTTGGGTGCAAAATGAGTCTTTTGTTTACTTATGTAAGACATTTCTTGAAACACATTCTTCCAAAGACATGATATTGTAGAAGTAAGAAAGATGACCTTGATGGAGATATGCAGGAACCAATACCTAGGGAAAAGCAGCTGCAGCATTTTTTTTAAGTCCAGAACTACAAGTTAACATTCAGAAGCAGCTTAGCTAGGAGCCTCCTTTATTCACTGAACTATAAGGAGGAGGAGGAGGGATAGCTAATTCATGAAACAGATATTTTTCTTTTTAATTGTACTCCTTTGATTAATATATTCCCCTATTATTACTGGTTTAATTGCATTCCATCTTATCACTGGAGATGTTTTGTTTTGCATTATTTTCTTTAAAATACTTAGAAAGGGACAGAGTTTCTTTTGCTTCTTGGATCGTCAATAGTATTGGATTAAATCACCAGAACTGTGTTTAAAAAAGTAGTACTTTCTAGTTTTGGTTCTAAAAATACTGAACATAGTCAGATATGCAAATAGGTGTTATTGCTGCTTGTTGGATTAGGCCTACGTGATTTAGATGCCCATATATAATATAATCTGGAATCATATTAATGTCTATCCAAATATGTGAATCTATTTAATTGGGAGTTCATAATTTTCCATGTGTCAGTCAGTCCTTGAGTATGCAATAATGTTAGCATATGAGAATATCGCAGATACTTTCTTCTGCACTTCAGGGTGCCCATTTTGCCCTAGAGGTGCCTTTAAATCTCCTCCTAGTATCAAATTCTCTATCCCAAAATTGTATTAATTTCTTTAACACTTTCAGATGAAATTGTACTTGAGCTTGTTTGTAGAATAATTTGAAATGATAGCGACTGGTAATTTATCTCATTGTCTCTTAATCAATTCAAAGCTTTCATTGTTATCCTTCAATAATCTCTGAATTCTGAAGTTTAAACCAGATTTAAATAGATTTGCAACCCCGTTTAACTTATTAGTTCCTAGAGCAAAATACTGTTTATTAAAATATTTGTCTTTACACTGCCTATCCTATACGTTTTTTGTAACATAACAAAAGGGGGAAAGGATCTTACATATCTAAATATTCTATACCTTTTTGTGTACCTCATCCCCTTAATATTAAATAAAATACATTTACAGATATCACTGATAAAATATCATTGCTGGTTTAAATACCTTGCATCCTATAAAATAATTTGAATTTCAACAGAGGGGTTGCAAATGGACCCAGCTAAGGTGCAAGCAATGTTGTCATGGCACTTCCCCCGTAATGTGAAAGACGTGCAGCGCCTCCTGGGGTTTGCTAACTTTTACAGAAAGTTCATTCCTGCATGTTCCCCTACCTTTGCGGGAGGAGGTATTACAGCTTTGCCATGACAATGAGACAGCTGGCCATGGGGGAGTTTTTAAAACACTCCACAAGACTCTAAGAGAGTATTGGTAGCCAAAGATGGCTGCAGACATTAAAGACACTGTTGCAGCTTGCCACGTGTACAGATGGGCTAAACTGGTTTATGGGAAGCTGGCTGGACTCTTGCAGCCATTAGACACCCCCTCCCCAGCCTTGGGATATGGTGTCAAAGGACTTTATCACTGATCTACCCCCGGTGCAAGGATATATGTCAATACTAGTAGTAGATCTATTTACAAAAATGGCTCATTTTATACCATCCAAAGGGTTACCTACAGCACAGGCCACAGCACAGCTCTTTTTAGACCACATATTTAGGTACAGAGGAATGGTTAAGCACATAATAACAGACAGAGGAAGTCAGTTCTCTTCCAATTTCTGGAGGGGCTTTTTCCAGTTACTGAAGGTGCAGATTCACTTATCTTCCACCCACCACCCTTCCACAAATGGTGAAGCGGAGAAGACTAACCAGGTATTGCAGCAGTATTTAAAGTGCTACATACCATACAGCCAAGACAACTGGACTGCACTCCTCCCCTTAGCAGAAGTTGCATATAATAATTCGGTGCACTCGATTGGCATGTCACCATTTCAAGCATTGTACGGAGTACACCCATGAGTTTTACCCACAACCATACAGCAGGGAGCTGTACCAAGCGCAGCAGTGTTTCTCAGAGAGCAACAGGCAACTCAGGAGCTATTGAAAGAGCAGCTACTGGAGGCAAAGGCAGCATACAAGAAGCAGCAGATGCATGCAGGCAGAAGGGGCCAGTGATTTCAGAAGGAGACAAGGTATGGCTTTCTACTAGATTCTTAACTTCCACTAGGCCATCTAGGAAGTTGGACTCTAAATTTGTGGGGCCTTTCACTGTCATTCGGCAAGTGAACCCAGTTGCTTTCCATTTGCAACTACCTGCTTCAATGAAAGTCCATCCTGTCTTTCATCGCTCCTTGCTAGTTAAGAAAGTACCCTCAAGCGCCTTGAGATCCCAGGATCCACTGCCCCCACCAGTCATAGTTGAAGGGGAAGAGGCGTACAAGGTGGAAGCAATCTTGGACTCGCAAAGGAGAGGGAAGGGAATTCAATATTTAATTCATTGGAAGGGGTACCCAGAGGCAGAGCGTTCGTGGGAGAATGCAAGGGATGTACACATGCCTGTGTTGGTGTGCCACTTTCATCAGTGTTTCCCTAACAAGCCAAGGCCTCACAAGCTACCCAAATCTTCCAGTGCTCAAGAACAAGCAAAGGAGGTCGTGAGTGAACAGGTGGGAGGTCTGGTAGGGGCCATAGGGCAGGAAAGTATCGAGACAGAAATTGCTCAGCCTTTGACTTCCAGCATCCATCTCCCAAGGGGAAGGGGGGCTGATTTTCCTAACTCTGTAGCTGTTTTTCAGGAGGAGCTACCTGACGTGGAGCAGTCATCAGGGAACTCGGAGGGAAGCACCACACCTGTGCTTTCATCTCTACCACCACTGCCCAGTTTCCCTGAGAACTTGGAGGGGGAATCTGACTTTGAAGGGGGGGTGATGTGATGGAATGTATCTATGAGGAGGAGAGTGATATGGGAGATCAAGGCTATCAGGAAGGAGGGGTGCATTCCAGCAAGGGAAAGGAGGCAAAAGACAACACAGTCCGCAGGGGGAGTTGCCACTCCCTAGAATCTCCCAGGGTATATCCATTAATTGCTGTAGTATACATTTAGTTTGGGAAGATGCTGTCTATAAGGTGTAAGCAAATAAAGGAACTATACTCGACTGGACTGTTTCATTGCTGTTCTTGGGCTGGGCCTGACATTTCCACGTGGTTTCAAAATTATAAGTTTGAATGAAAATCCCCATTTATAACAAATTCCCAGTTTTATCAACAGTTCTGTTAGAGGCTTGAATGCAATTCTTTTTTGTAAGGTAGTTTGACTAATGTCTTGAAAAAACAAAGCTTTGTCTTCTCCTCAGTTTCTTTGCTTCAGCTTGTGGGCTTCCTGGATAATTTTATCTCTGGTGCATTCATTAAGAAACATAATTATAATATCCCTTGATTTTTTTTTTCAATTTTGCAAGCCTGGAGTTTTGAACCCTATATGCACATCCTATGTTATTTTCAGACAAATGTACATCTGGGAAGGGATCATTAAGTTATGTTACTATGTAATCTATCATGTTATTCTCAGCTTTGTCACTAATGCCTCTACTTCAGAGGTTATTTTGTCTGTTACAGTCTCCAGCATCTGCCAGAAATATTTCAAAATCCATAAGTTCTTTCATGTACATTTTGATCCCTTTAGTTCATTGCAAAGCACCTCTCCTAGAGACTTTGCATTTCTTAACTGTTTTAGAAGGGAATTCTATGTAGATAAGCAGTTAATCATGGTGGGTTGAGGAACCAGCAAGGCCTTCATCATGCCATTTCTTACAGAGGCTAAGCCACGCCCCGAAACAGGCATTTTTCTTCTGAAATTAGACTGTCTGAAAGAAAGCTGTTTGCTAACATGCTAAACAAGTTAAAACACAAAGCCAAAGTGTATACTGATTCAACAGCCTACCTTCTGCTTAGCCCTGGGGCAAGTATGTTTTCAGTACTGTATGCCATTTTTTTTTAGATTTTTATCCCACCTTTTTTTTCATATACAACTCAAGGTAGCAAACATACCAATATTCTTTCCTCCTCCTAATATCCAAAAGAAGGCAGGCTAATAATTTTTCCTTCAGTGTTAGTCTCTGAACTGGTAAAGAGCAAATCAGAGTAAGAATGTTCTCATCTGAAATGCACTACACTTGGCTCTTCTTTATAAAAGACAGAACATGAAGAATGGGTCATGATTAATCATTCTCTTTAAATCTATAAAAAGCCTGTTGAAGTATGACAATTCAGAATGTGGCTATTAAAATGATGCACAATCTGTCAGCAGGTAAACAGACGCTGCTGTGATGATTATATTATGCTTTCATTAATCCATGTGTTCATTTAGAAATATATGCATCTTTGGAGCTTCAGGGATTTTATTTGCAATGGCCTTATTAGATGATTGTATAAGCCAAATCCAAAAATGTCCTTTTGTTAGTTGACATCACAGAATCACAATTTTCTGGTAACAGAAGAGTACTGAGAGAAGTGACCCCAAATCCAGAGCAATATCTTTACTTGTACAAACTCTTCTACGAAACCTTGAACGAAATTGTTCTCAAGATTTTTTAATAGGCTACTAAAATACATGTTACACAGTATTCATTATTCACTCTTTGTTTTTTTAAACCCCTGACAAATTGTGCCATTGGACTGCAAGACTTCTTCCTCTAGATCAGAGCGCAGCCATTTTTCAGGTGGGTGTTACTGTTTTATTTTGAGTGATAACACAATGAAGGAGGGAAGGGGAAGGGGAAGGGGAAGGGGAAGGGGAAGGGAAGGGTCAAATTTTCACAAAGCATTCAAATCTCATGATATACTGGTGAGAGTGCCAGAAATCACATGTCATTTCTTTCAATTGTATTTGTTTTAAAAATTCTGAGGTTCCAGGGAAGCCATCTGACAATCTTGCAGGCATCTTGATGCTCAGAGAAGTTATATTGCAAATCTATACTCCAGTTCTTGTACAATAGTTCTAGAATGTGCTAGTATTATTTTCTCAGAGTTTGATTCAAACCATTTTTGTCAGAGCCTGCAGCAAGAAAACCTCTTGCCTTATAGAGCTGGTATATGAATGCTGAAAACAAAATTTCTAAGATAATTAAGTCCCAACATCAGGAATATGCATTCAGAAAGAAAATAAGTTAACTGTTTGTGAACATCAAATTAATACAGATAAAGAAACTAAAAGATATGGTACTTACAGGCTACATTTATTTAATCTATAAAATTTGTGCCTGGCCACACACATCCTCCACACATATTTTGCTGTTTCCATATCTTCCTGTCAAACAGAAAAGATACATGTGAAACAAAGCAGGTTCTTGGGCGGGCCCAGCAGAGATTTAAATTACTCCCCTACTCTACAGATTCATAGGGCCAAGTGACTGACCTGGACTGGACAATATGTTTGCTATATAAAGGTCATGCACAGCAGAGAGAAGCAGAATCCTACCCAGTACACATGCCTGCCTCCTTCTGGAGCCACATGGAGATGTCTTCTTTATGATTCCCACATATGAAAAATCAAATGTAACAAGTTCAAAACAAGTTCAAGTCACACATTGCATGTGGACTACTACTATAGCAATGTATGTCTATATTGGGCTTCCTCAGAATTTATTACAAAACAACTATTATATCTGTGAGAGTTACTTCTTACACAGATAGAAATAACAGTTATCAAAACAGGAAACAGATGCAGACTCTTCTTCCTTTACAAAATAGGCAAGCTTCCAGATCCATACACAGGAAAAGGAGGAAGAGATGGACAAGAGTTTTGCTATCTTAAACTCCCTATCTGTAGGTGTCTCATTTGAAAGGAGGTATTCACTGGAATTCTTGTATTCCCCTTATCCTTCCATCTAATAAAACTTGTTAATAAATCTCTGAGATTTTTGTTTCCAGTCTAGACTGCAAAGAGGGAGGCCTGATAGTATCAACAAATAGGCACCTGCAAGATCTTGTTCCTGCTATTTATGAAGCATCACTTCAGCAAATAGCCTGCCCCAGCTGAGCTCATAGATGTTCATCACAGCACATTCAAATTAAGATGAATTTTTTTCTCCAGTGAATACTCATGACTGATAAAAAGGCTCAATATTTGAAAGCCAATAAATAATCCATGAGTTATATTTATTTATAAAAAGCTGTTATCCTAACCTTTCTCCATGCACACAGGTCTTCCTGCATTTTATCCTCACAGCAAAGGATAGATGAGGCTGACTAAATAACCCAAAGTGAACTAGTGAACTTAAAAGATAAATAGGGATATCCATACAAGTCTGCCTATTCCCAACCCAAATATTCTATCTATATAATCAATATTGAGGAGCTACAAAAGTGGTATCTCAAAAAATCCATGGCACCATGCAACTCTGAAGTATGTCTCAAATGAAAGTTCTGCTGTAATCCTGTAAAATTGCTATGTTTCATGAGATATTATTCTTGTATATAATGAGATTTTGAATGTCAAATCTTACAAGATTACCACCATTAAAAAAAAATACTTCTGGCATCTACACCATTGTGTTGCTAGTCACTGATACTTGCAGTATATATAATACTCACAATGGCCAGGTTGTTTGGGAAATGAACTACAATCTGAGTGCTTCTCCATTAAATAATACACATTCATCCTTGAGACCATTTTCTTTTTACCCTATGGATTTGGAAACATGCAGTAACAGAATACTCATGAGATATGAGTGATTCCCTTTCTCATCTATTCTATTCAAAATATTTTAAGCTTTTATGGCCAAGCATCAGAAAGTACCTTCTATCATATAAATGTAGCATTATGATAAAAAAAATTAATGCAATAAAAACTGATAAGAGTTTTAAAAACATATAAAACCCAGCAGTATGTTTCAGTATTAATAATGCAGTATCAGCCAAACACTGAGGTAATCAGTAATAGCATATCATGTTTTGCCATAGACAGACTCACCTGTTCCTGGCAAGAACATTATACATGAACAGAAAAAAAAAACAGACCAAGAGGTAGAAAAAAAAGGATAAAAATATGATGCAATCTGTATCTCTGAATAAAGCAGAATGATCTCATGATAAAAACCTGGCTTGGAAGCACCCTAAGTGTTTAAAGAACATACAGGTAGTGCCCTAGAGTTCTCCTAAGAGAAATGTAAGTACATTTTTATTTCATTGAATACTATAGCTGTTATGTTTCTTGACGATAAAGCGGAGAACATATGATTGATAGATATTGATATCGATATTGAGAATATATGAAAGGAATTGTTCCTGCCCAACTATGTTGGCTGCCAATAGGTTATACAGCTTGTGCTAATAATTGCTCTAATTTTAAGAAAATATAAAAAAGTAAGAGACCATCATCTTTCAGATACAGGCTTTCTCTCCTACATACGTACAAACTCACATTATCATACACAAACATATACACACACATATAGAGAGTATCTGATTTCTTCCTCGTATCAAATACATTGAAATAAAAGCTCACTCACAGTTTGAAACTGGATTGTCTCTTCTTTATTGGCCAATTCTAATGCAAAAAAAGATTTGTTGTGGGTCATATTAGCAATGTCATGCCACCTGTGTATGAAAAGAATGAGAGAAACATAAACACTCATAGCCTTCACAAATAATTATGCTATACTTCCCTGCATAATTTATATATTAATTTGCTACTATTTCTTACACATTTGCAGAAGTGATTAGCTACCTTGCACATTTCAACTTCAAAGCTGTAATCATTTGGTTGGTTGCTTTTGCACATGCTTTAGTCGCTACGCAAGAGATTCCAAGAACTGAATTAACAACATATCTGAGGTTAAGGACAAAGATCATGGGCACCACACAGTCCTACCAATTTCATTCTTAACATTTAATTCCAGACAGGGCAGGAGGATCAGCATTTGCAACCCTTCCATTTCCTCCTGGTCAGCAACCGTGTGGGCTAGAGCTGGTAAGATCCAAAGCTAACAGCCTGAAACCAGTAACAAGGCACAGGTGCCAACTACCTCTCCTGCTGAGAAACAAGTGCCTCTTGGTCCATTATGATCTAGGGGTGGGAAAAGTGATGTACAATTTGAATCTGGGGACTGCTGCGAATACCACTTGAATCTTAGAGTTTGCAATGGCTGATTTTATTTATTACTGAAGTCTTTTGTATTATCTGCAATAAATTTATTTTATCAGAGCTGTGTCCTTGAATTTCTCTTTGTGAGCCTTCTACATTAAGTAATAATGTGGGCAAAATCCAACAGGAATGTGGGAGGAAAAAGCAGACAAGAGTTAGAAGCCTTTGGATCTCAGTCCTCCTGTCCAACTGCTTCTGGAACCTTACTCCTCTGTGTTGTTTCTGAGGCTTTCTCAGATAGGCATTCACCAATTTCAGAGCTTCTCATTGAGGGTAGCTGATTTAAAGTTAAACTTATCCCTCAAAGTTGGAGTCCTATCTACTAACTTGGAAGGGGGAAATGGAGCAATCATTTTCTCCTAGAATGCAATTCCAAAGGTCACAGATTGCATACTAAATAATCCTTACAGTGATTACTGAAAGATAAACAAGCATTTCATAGTACAGACTGGACTCTGAAGAAGCAGAACAGGAAGAATATTGATTTTTTGAACTTTAATGTTGGAGAAGACTCCTGAGAATACAGTGAACAGCCAAGAAAACAAACAAATTGATTACTGAACAAATCAACCCAGAGTTCTCACTCAAGGCACAAATGACTAGGCTCAAATGATCCTACTTTGGACACATTATGCAAAGATCTACCTCTCTGGAAAAGGCTCTAATGCTGGGAAAGGTAGAGGAAAAGAGAAGAAGAGGACAACCAGCCGCAAGGTGGATAGACTCACTTATACTGGTGATGAGTGCACTGTTGGAAGACATGAAAGACCAGCTTAGGGACAGATTATTACAGAGAAAATTTATTATGTGACTTGATGGCACATAATTTATCATAATACAGATCTCATTAGTAGTGTGACTACAGCCTTATATCCTATACACATTCGGCATGGGAAATATGTTCTTATTTAGCTGTAATATCTAGAGATTGTTATGAATATAAGCATGAAACATAATGCTTTCTATCTTACCGGGGAAATAAACTCACCTAAATATGACAGGAGGCCGACCATTTTTGTGCTTGACAAAAATTCCATCAAGACAAGCTCCGATGAATATGTCACTTCCTTGGCTATCCTAGATAATGATAATGAAAAAAAAAAGTTGATGATGTTAGTAGGACAACCATTCAGCCACAGCTAGATGAACATTTAAATTATATTGCAAAAACTATATGACAACATGTTTTTCTACATGTTAACCCGATTGTCTGTGATCCTAATCAAGAAGGGATTATGTCTCAATTTGAGGATATTACTGAGGACAATGCTTTCTAGAATAAGGAAATAGTTTTGTCCCCTTATACATCACTTCCCCTAAAATTCCCTAAATAATTTATGCTTTCAACATTCAGTTATGACAAAAATAGTACTGAAAATCTATTATTATTATCAGAACAATTTATCAATATAAATAATATTAAATAAATGATTAATCAAAAGTCCTGCCAAACAATAAATATAAAAATTAATTAAAAGTTAATTTAAAAAAAGCAATGCAGGCAATCCCTGCAAGGATTTTACGAGAGTCCTATAAGCCAATTCTTGGAAACTTTGGACTGCACACTGTGCACTGTGCCCAGAAATAGTGGCTGCCATTTCTGCATACAAAAAACATTAGTCATGCTCCTAAGCATAACACTGGAATTATGTATCTTACCTGGGGACTGCCTCTATAATATGCAATCTAAAACACAGATCCCAAGTTAGTTATTTTCCATCTGCCAGGTATATTTTTAACTGTCATCTAAATGAAGACAGCTTGTAGCCATCCATATTTCCCTTTGAAGAGACTTTCATAATTGGGATCCTGCCACTGAAAAGACCCAGTGCATTGTAAACCAAACCAATTTGTGGGACTACCGGAAGGTCTTCCGCAACATGATTATATAGCCCTGGAGAAGCTCATATTTTAATATTGGGGTTCTCAGCTATTTGGATTTTACAGACTAATGTCAACACATCAAATACAGCCCTGGAACCTTCTGGCAATGAGCACAATGTTTTCAGGCCAGTGTTGTACAATCTCATTCACCAATTCACTTAGCAATCAGATAGCTATACTTTGTACCAACTGCAGCTTCCATACTGTCTTCAAGAATAGCCCAGAAAAGGAAATTGCAGTAATCCAAACTTGAAGTTATTAGAGTATGGATCACTGAGGCTAGACTATCCTAGTCCAGAAGGGTTGTATCCTGCACACCAGCCAAAATTAGGCTTATCTTTTCATCACCACTGAGGCCAGTGATGCCTCTAGTGACAATTGGGAATCAAGGTTAGTTTCCAAGCAATGTACCTGTTCTTCAGAGGGAATGCTACCTATTCCAGAATAAGTCACCTACTTAATTCCCTGGACTGAGAACCCATTATCTAAGTTTAGCTTCAGTCTGTTTGCCCTCATCCAGTACATTACTTCTTCCAGGAAGTTCCTGCACAACTTCTTCTGACTGTCAGCTGCACACTGATGACACTGTACTCCAAATTTCTGGACAATCTTCTCCAACGTTTTAATGTTTATCAGTCTTTCCTAACCTTGACAACCTCCACATGTGTGTATTTCAACTCCCAGAATTCACAGAATGTTCATGCTGGCTGCAGAATACTCAGAGTTTAAGTTTACACATCTGGAAGTTGCCATAGTTGAAAGATAATGATGTAGTCCCAAATAGCAAGAGAGAAGGCAGAAAATGCAGTGGGATACCACTACATAAACACTTGGATCCAAACAGAAATATACTACTACCAATTGCTGACAGTTGTCTTGCAGATAGAAATGGAATCACTGTAACACCAATTTCCAACCCACCAACCCACTCCAGCAATATCCTGTGATCAGTGATGTCAAAGACCACTAAGAAATCCAGAAGATACAATAGCATTCCTCTATTTCTGTCCCAGTAAAGCTCATCCATTAGGGCAACCCTGACTATTTCTGCACTATAATCAAATCTGAAGCAGACTGAAATTAGAATGGCTTCCTTTTAAAAGAATATGAAGATGAATATTTTTAAAATAATAATTATCAAGTTAGTTCAGTGTAACATACATTCTAGTCTCTATAACCCCATGTTTTTGCTCAAAATCTGGGTTATTACTATACACATCATTCATTCATTTACATAGAGTTTATATATTTGAAATTCTGCTTTTACTAGATATAGAACATGGTTTTTATGTATTACAAGTATATGCTTGCTACATTTATTGGTTAACATAGGATCCAGAATATTTTCAGTGTAGAATTTTGCTTTCTAAATAGAAACTCCAATCCTATTTCTGGATTGACATCTGAGTGTTTCTGCTAAAAGTTTTAACAGAAACATTAGCAGTGTTCTGAGAAAAAATATACCTTTTAAAAGAAAATTAAAAATGCAGAAGGCAAATTACTTGTGTCACACTGAAGCGGTGGCACAGGTCTTCAGTAAAGCTAACTTTACCTTAGCAGGGTAGGTCTCTTCACCATAACCTTCCATTCTCTCAACTTCCTGCATATATAACATCTCTGCATCAGGTGGTGTGAGGCCCCTTCAAAAGAAAGAAGAAAAGAAAGAAATCCAATTGATTAAAAGAGAACACTTAGTTTTTGTCTGTAACTGTATCAAGAATACTTTTTTGGAGGGTATATTCCTTGAAGTTTACATAAATAAATCCAGAGTATAATATTTCATTGCTGCAAAAAATGTGATTTTTCTCTGATCAAACACACAATACATTTAAGCAGATCAGCAAAGATTTAGCAGATACGTACATAAATCTACATAAATACACACACATACATATAGTAGTTCAATATATTTTACGAACTCAGACTATTGAATTAGTTTATGATTCAATGTATTCTGCAAATCCAAAACAATGGATTTATTCAGTAACCAGCTTAAATAAATGTTGTGATTTATAAACCACAGTAGTTGGTTTCATATAACACACTAAACTACAAACAAGCAAATCACAATAGTGTCTTATTTAAATCCAGCTGTAAAATAGCACATGAAATACAAAAGTTTACAAGGAGCAAAGATCATATTTGCATTCAGAGGTTTCTTATAAATCTATAATAAGCAGAATTTAGTAGATCTGTTGCAAATTCCAAATGTGGGGCCAATGCAAATAGCATGCTGGGCCTCTAAAAACTGTAGTTAATGATTCTAAAGCCAGCCTCAGGCATATGTGCTCCAAATTTAAACAGTTTGTAAGTACAATAATGTTACTAAAGCAAAAAGGTTTCCCATTAAACCAGAGTCAGTTATCACCATTTATCATGACTTTCTGATCAATGGAAGCTAGTATTAAAGACAGTGCTTATGACTGTTTATTACAGTATCAGGGTTTTTTGGAGAAATGAAGTACTTTTTTCCTAGATTTATTTGTGGGGATCACAGCTTAAAATACAGTGTTAAATGTACTGTAAGCTTACAGTGTTCTTGATGTACCTACTTCAAATGATGAGAAACAGATCCAGCAACTTCAATCACAGAGCCAGTAGAAAGACTGTGTGTTAACAAGGGCCTGTATATTTCTCGTAATCAGTCCAAATGTAAATAATTTCCTACTTTATAGCAACAATTCAGCATGCCATCATCTGGCAAGCTTCAGGCTTGAAACAATGTCACAAATTCAGAACCAATACCTGTATTTTTGATGGAGTAATGCCACTTTCTGAGTTGCTTCTTCTAAGATCTTCTCATCTTGCAACCAACCCTTAAAAATGGAAAATAAAGAATTGTGCTTATTCCTGTATCCATTGTCAATATTCGAAACTTCATTTGTTGTAAGAAGTTAATTAAAAGTATGTATATCTACTACTCCGTCTTATTTTCAGTCATTCATATATTTGTATGTCATCAAACCAAAAGATTCATGGCAACTTAAATAAGATCAATAATTAAAACATGCACAGTAAACGACTTAACTAAAATATCCACAGTAAACACATAAAGTGATCAAACATTCATGGTAACCATATAAACAATAACATTTAATCTGGCTTGTACAAACATGTACAAAATCATCAGGTAAATTTATATGCATTGCTTCAAATCAGAGAAAGCTCATCAGTTTTGATCTGCCCATCCTGATAATTACAGTGTCTAAAGGAATTCAGATGGGATCCATATTGAGTAGTTTGATCTGTGTTAATCTATCCCTCGCAGTTCAAATGTCACAAGTCATCCAGAATGACCTAGGGGTAAATAAATTTGTAAACTTCCACAAAAGCACCCATTTCTTTCATGAGAGCACATAGAGCATATAGCCATGTAAGATTTTAACCTGAAGGTTTTTTTTCAATATATTGCAAGTGATCTGGATGTATCTGAGAGAATTTGGAAGCACTTTTGTGTTCTGCTGTTTGTAGAGTTGCTTGCAATTGTTTCTTCAAGGCAGAGTAGGTAACGTCTCAGTCAAGGAATGCAGGTAAAACTACTAATGGACCTCAAGTCTTCCAGTTTCAGGGTGATGACACTGGAAATGATGGGACTGGAAATCTTTTTGGATGGATGGATGGATGGATGGATGGATGGATGGATGGATGGATGGGGGAGGTTTAACAATGAGAATGGAAGCATTTTAACTCATGAAGGCCTTATATTCTCATTCTTACTTTTAAAACTTCTCCAAACCAAGTTAAATTCTCACACAGCTGAAGATCAGTTTTTTGGCCACCAAATTTTAGTAGGGTGATCTTCAGAACCACAAAGGCAATGCTAAAAATGTCTGGGTAGCCGTTTGAGATATTTATATGCCTCTTTTCAGGCAAATATTCAAAAATAAAAAACTCAAAGGCAACCATGTATTGGATATCACCTGGAGGGAAGAGGAAAAAAGGCAGATCCTTCCAGACTTGGTGAAATGGCATCCCAGGATATATGTGTCAAAGTTAGCAAGATGGCTAACAGAGCATCCCCACCTCTTTTAAACATGGTCAACTTATACAGAAAAGGGAAGGGGGTGCTGTACTGTATTGTAAATCTCTGTCCACCATCTTGCTAATGATCTCTCTCACACACACACACACAAACACACACACACACATGCCTCTGGCTGGAAAACATAAATTCTGGGAGGTTGGGCTAGTCTCTCTCAGTTAGTTGTTGAGTACTCCTAAGGTAACAGCAGATTTACATCCTCAGGAATACCAGATATTCCTGGTTTCACCTGGGTTTCAACAATCAGATTCGTCCCACTGGAGGTAGGATGATGACAGAGTATTCTAACTTTCTCTTCATCTACATAGCAGGTTTTACTATCACTATAAAAATCTGATAGAACAATAAAAATCCATACAAACCTTTCTGACAGAACAGCACAAAGAAACCTTTTTCTGAATACTGATTTTAAAAACTGGTAAAACATGAAGCAATTAATAATAAAGCTATCATAATACGTGCTTGTTTCTATAGATAAAACAAGAACATTCAAAATAATAATAGCATGCAGGACTAGTTTCACTTTTTAAATTATTCTTTTAAACATCTCCAAACAGGGAAAAAAGCAAGAGAAATTGGACCATCCTTACCACGGGAAACAAGGCAAATCTCTGTAGAAACTCTTGTGATTCATACTGGTCATAATCCCCAAAATCAGCTGAGGAATTAAAAGAAAACAGGCAGCAATTAAATACTTAACATACAATTCTGTTGGAAAATAATTCTGTCAAGAACAGGCCAGTTAACAATGAAGTATTATTTGACAGATGAGCAACAGACCACAACTAAATTATTGCATGCATACAGAACATTCCTATCCAAACTCCCAGAAGTCATATAAACAATACAAATGGATATATTATACAACTTTTAGTTTTCTTATCTAAAAAACAGAAATGTAGAAAGCTATTTCATGATATACAAGAGCAATTAGGTAATTATTTACTGAATCACTATAATTTAAGAGTCAACTGGGATAAATAAAAAAGGCAGAATGTTTGTCACATAAACAAGTTATTGTGATGTATTTCTTCTATCACACTGACAAAATAACATTCTGGAAATATATTCAATATAGCACAATATTACTATTCTAAGCATATAAAGTATAACAGCAAATGAAATGAATATTCATGGTTCCCCCTTCCTCATGCCAACAATTCATCTTTTTTCCCAATCTCTTCTTTAACATAGAACATTTGCTATAACAGCTATGCAAAAGTATTATTGATTTAAAAGGAATCTTCATACATCCAACATTTTCACAGATCAAAATCAGGGTATATTTGCAACACACTATTCTCAAACTAAACCCCACTCACTTACACCCAAGATAACCAACAGATGGTAGCAAAGAGATACAGAAAGACATTCTTTATCCACCCATCTAGTGGTCATCTAGATTTCTGCAGACCAGATGGGGTATGTTCATTCAATATTCATTCATTCATTCATTCATTCATTCATTCATTCATTCATTCATTCATTGTTTTTTGCTGTTTCAGTCAAGTAAATCTAAGCATCTTACAAAACTATATAACAAAAAAATCAACCATATAGGGAAAAAAAATCATACATATACATACATATATTTAAACTCAACAATAGCAGCAAAAGAACAATAAGCAGTGCCCACGTGTACCCCAGGTAAATACTTTATCTATATTCCCCAAATGCTTAAGAAACCACTTTTTCACAAGTTTTCTAAATGTGAGGAAGCTGATCTTATTTCTGGGGGCAACTGGTTCCACAGGAGGGGAGCTCTGGCAGAGAATGATTGCTTCCGATTCTTCTGCTGTACTTCATGAGGAGGGAACTCTTAGCGTGCATATCTTGGGTGGGCATATTCTGCTTGGAGGAAGCAGTCTCAATAATACCCAAGTCCTGAGCTACATAGGACTATTTAATTTATAACCATCCCACTAAACTGCAATAAGAAACAAATTGGCAATTAGTAGAGGACCCATAATGCTGATGTTATCTGATGATATTGGGGCATTCCTGTTAGTACAAGGACAGCTGCATTCTGTACCACCTGAAGTTTCCAGGTGGTCTCAAGGGTAGTACCATGTACAGAGAGTTATAGTAGTCAACCATGGGCACTGATATTGGATATAATATGCTGTTCAATATCAGTGCTGGGGAATATGAACAGAAGGATGAAAGTGATTTAATCTTGTTTATGGGTTTCCCAGGGCCATCTGGTTGACCACTAACAGAAACAGAATGCTAGACTACAAAGACCTTTTTATATTCCCAGATTTAAAGAACGAGAAGTCAAGTAAACTTTTAGAACTGAGACAATGAGAGAGAGAGAGAGAGAGAGAGAGAGAGAGAGAGGAGCTCCATTCAAATTTTCCTCAGTTATATTGTAATTATATACCTATTTTTCAAGTAGCACAAAGAAAAATGAAGACTGCAAGGGGAAAAAAACTATAAATCATGAGTACTGAATTGTATTTCCCTTCAATGTGCCATAATACTAAAAGAAATCAGTGTGATATTGAAAGTCATTTAAAAAAAAATCAGTGATTTTCAACAGACTATACAATTATTTTGTCGTTATCTTCTCAAAGTATGATTAGCATGATCATAACTTTTACACACTGAAAAAAGCATGTACTGAAAGCAGTAATCCTGCAACAATCAACAGGCAATTGTTCTAATTCTCTAATTAAACAAAGTGCTGCAAACAGAAATAGTGTTTCTTGCCATGTTTCATTCAAGTCAAACTATTTGAACCCCAGTTTATATTGAAAAAAGTCTTTCATCAATGAAGCACTGAAGGTACATAGACTCCAAATTTAATTTTAGTTTAAGATAATTTTTAAAACCCTGTGGTACATATTTTGTATCCAGTCTTCTAGCTGTTGATTATGTATCAAAAATAACAATCTACCTCCACACAACAGGAAGGTATCAAAGGTTTGGGGAAATTTCAGAATCATGGAAGTACCAAAAAAAATCAAAAAAGGTTAATAAGGACAGAGTATGCTCAACAGTCAGAAAATCCAGGCTGACTCTCTTATTTTTTTTTAATGTCATGAAAATTAAAAATTATCTTAAACTAAAATTAAATAGTTTAATAAGATAAATGTCTATCTTAGTACTTTAGAAGGAAGTCCATCTTAGAAGGACTGAAACCAGCACAGCTGTTCTCAGGCTGGAAAGAACCATTATGAAAATATATTCTAGTTGTTGTTCAAGGCCACCAGTCATCAGCACACTGGCTCAGAAAGGTTGATCTATGATTTACTGCCAAGCTATGGTGTAAAGCTTGCTGTGCCTTTAAGGAGCTGTTCCAAGCATGGCAAATTAGTTTTAAAGAAAGAAAGAAAATGATCAAATGAGTAGAAAGGAGTTGTGGTGGCATTCCTGACTGAAGCTTGGCACAAGTACAAATTATGTTATCTAAAAGTGTTACTCAAAAATTACAAAAAGCATACTCTCCTTGATGTTGTAAAATATTATATAGAGTTGAAAGTTACAATGCTTTAGTGATCTGATTTGCACCATACAGATGAAGATTATCATGGGCAAAATAAAGCATGACTTTCTTTTGATGATGTAAATCCAGACTGTCCAAAATTATAGTAAACCATTAGAAGTTTAACATGCTTCTGGGAGAAAAGAACTGTGGGTGCCTTACTCAAAAACAGTATTCAACCACAATGGATTACTATGACGGTAAAATATTTCTCTGAAGAAAAGGCAGAATACAATTGTCCAAGATAACAATAAAATATAAAGACATATGCAGGAGAGGTTGAGAACCAAAAGTTTGCAATTCTCTCTAATTTGCTAAGGGATCTTCCCCTGCTGAAGAACCAGTTGTCACACAGGCTCTGTGGAACAGCTCCTCTGCTGGCAATCCCAGCAGTAATGCTGTCTGTGAACGGACATGTATCTGCACACAGAGAAAACCACACAGTGAGAGAAAACCACACACACACAAGGACAGACATCAGAGTGATTGTATCAGAGGACATGACTGCTTTAAAGCTTTGAGGAAAGGTGCTTCATTCATGCCAATATTCCTTGTAAAGCTCCTGTGCCAATTGCTTGTGCAGCCTTAATACAGGATAACACTAGACATCTTGATCTCCATATATATCAGCTGCTGTAAAGCAGCAACAGGAGACAGCTACTGCCTTCATGTCCAGCCAATAGGCTTCCTCTAAGCATCTGTTCGGTCACTATGGGGGATAATACATTGATCCAAGATGGCCCTTTTTGTGCTTTTTGTATTCTTATATCCCAATTACGCTTTAATGCTTTTTTAAGGAACACAGGTTGTAACCCATGTACAGTCAATAGGCCATACACTTCCTCCAAAATGCTCATTCAAACAGTAATACAAGTCCCTTCCTCCTAAAATAAGCTAAACACGATTGTAAGTGTGGAGATTACCTTGAACAGCTAAGCCAGCAAGATGAATTGCTTGTTCAAATGGGCAAGGTATGTTTCCTTCCAAGATGTCTTTCTTCAGTTGTAGATAATACTGGTATCTATGAGAAAAAAAATGTTTTTCCATCTGCCTCTGATTCATGGAAATGCATACACTCAGAAACATTCTATGATGTATGTCTGTATGTACCTATACCTATATACACATACATACATACATCTAATTCTCAGCTATCAACAATTTAGGTTGTAAGCAAATGTTTTGCTGATATGATTCTATGGAAGAAGTATGTACATGACTTTCAGCATCTGGAGAAAAAGCAGGGTATATAAATAAAATAAATAATATTATATAAGCTCTATCTGTAGTGTGATATATGGTAGGCCAGATACCATAACTTAGCAGATGAGCATATGCAGAAAGTTCCAAGTTCAATCCATGGCATTTCCATTAAAAAAGAATCAAGCAGGAGACAATAAGGAAAATCTGTAGGTGAGACTCCAGAGAACTGCTGACCATTCAAGTTGATAATTTAATTCCAAATTTAATTTTGGAATTAAAACAATCTAAGCTGGTGAAGGATGTCCCAGATTTGATGCTGAAGTCTCTTCAATGTACAGTGTGCTAGTGAGAAAAAGTAATCATCCCCGTAACTTGCTGTACCACATTTAGTAACAATAACTTCTTGTAACTGGGGATCATTCTCTCACATTGCTCAGTAGAAATATTGGCCCACTTCTCCATGGTAAACTGCTTCAGTTCAATCACACTTCAAAGATTTTCTAGCACGAACTGCTCATTTCTTTTTACACACTGGCACATCACATGTTGGATGACTTTACTTATGAATAAATAGAGACTCCAAATTTTGGCACTTTTTGTTAACTCAGATCGACTCCCCTTCCCCCTCTATATATCAGTAGGATCCATGAAACTGATAATATTCAGTGACAAAGATATGCAAAAATTCAGAAAATCAACAAAGGGTCAAATGCTTATTCACAGAACTGTAGTTCAATACTTGACATATCTAAAGAGGTCTGGGAAATAACTGACTCTGAATTCGTAAGTTGCCCCATGCAGTGTAAACCAGTGTTCCCCAAATGGTGCCATCCCAGTGTAGTTTCTCCTATGTTCTAGGACAAAAAGCAGCCAGGGATTTCAGCATCAAATCTGAGACTCTGCTCAACAGCTTAGTAGGATAATAGCTTTTATTATCTACCAAAGGTAATGTGCTCGTATGTAATCTGAGCTAAAATAATTGGCCATGTAGGAAATAACATGTTAATCAGAAAGATCTTTGTTCAGATCCAGGAGGACTATTCTACTGTAAAGATATATGGAAACAACAGAAATCAGATTCAATAGGGCCATGTAAAATTTCCTTACTTTATATTTAGAATTATTCTGTGCCAGCGTATAAGATTCACCTGGTAATTTCCTGCTGAAGTTGAGAGACAGAAGGCACATAAAACACCACACCAAAGAACACAGTTGGCTCCAATGCATATTTATCCAGTTGTTTTTTGAGAGGCTTATCCAAATCTATCCACCTGCGCTGGTTCTGCTTGTTGAAATACCAAAGGCTAAAATAGGTAATCTAAAGGGAAAACATGAAAAGGAAGCAGGTTACATGTTCAAAAATGAAAGAAGGTATATCACATTGAGGGGGAAAAAAAAGTCCTTTTAATCATTTATATATAGTAAGTAGACTAAGAAATAAAACAGTTTAGAACAATATATATCTTTAATTCATGTTAACATATACAGCATAATGATCATCATGAGAAAAAGTTTTAAAAAAAACCTCAACTCAAACACAAATCCTTATCACTTGAAAAAGTCCCTTTAAATGCTTTTCCCCATCCTCAAAATTCTATAGATAATTGGTTCTATTGTCCAACTCTTCCTATGATTAAGAAATTTGTCTTAGCATTCAATCAAAATCTATCCTAAAAATTATCTCTTTAGTTTATTTCATTCTGCTCTCTGGGCAACAGACAAATCTTATTAAAATGTATATATACTTTTCTTTTTTCATTTTATGGGGGACGTTATTTATAACTATTGTCCTATTGTTCAGTTCAGAATACTCCTGAAGTATGTATAGGATAAGTACAATTAAACAAAATAACAGTGATAAAGCACTAAATGAAACCATTAAAATGAATCTAATATATTCACAGATTAAAAATTCTTAAAAGTGATTAATATTTGCACAGAGCAAATATGAAAAAAAATTAAGAAACCAGCAGCAGAATTCATTGTGGAGACTGCTGATGAATTTACCAGTTTCTTGAAGCCTTTCTCAGGTTACTGACAATTGAGGGATATTTTTCTGTATTAAAATAGAAAGCAAAGATCATTCCAGCAGTCAAATATAGTGGTACCTTGGTTCACAAACGCTTCTGTTCATGAACAATTCGGTTCACGAACAGCTCCGTTCACAAAATTTTGCCTCCGTTCGCGAACGCTGGATCAGGTGACAAACAGGATCCGCGGCCATTTTCCCTCCCGTGACACGTGGTCCCGTGACACGTGTAGGGAGGGGGACTCTCCCTCCAAGCAGTAACCGCCTCCCCACCCGCCTTCCTGTCCTCCACGCCAGAAGTCGCGTCAAGCAAGGTTAGCTT